TAGTTTGCTTTTTAAGAATACACTGCTAGTTAAATATTCGGAAATCATTTCCAGTTTTGCAAAAGGCATAGTAGAAGTATCTTTTCTATTTTGATATTATGACTTATCCACACATTGAACTGAAATCATGCATAAACAGGAAGGGTTCTTCATTAAAAATGTAGCAAAGTGAAAGGAAGTAGGTTAATAAAAATATATATATGATATAATATGAAATTATTACTCCCCTTCTACATTCCGTTAAAAAAAAAGGAAAAAAAAAAAAAAAAAAACATTTAAAACTGATCATATAGTCCTAACTAAAAATCACATACAAATTTGAGTTATGACTTAGCAGCTCATTTTCAGCATACATTAGGGACAGTTCCAAAGCTTAATTTCTTTCAAAACAGAATCTCCTCCGCCCACGTCCTGAAAAACCAGTTTTGAGAGTTCTTTCTGCTACAAATAGATGAATGATTTCTGTTTTACATTCACGTGTTCTCTAGCCCAACCTTGCCTGTCCTAGCCTTGCCTGATTTATCTTTTATGTATATGCACATATTATTCCTGTTCTTTACGAGGGTTGTTATCATTATCAATTCTCTGACATAAAACATATAGTAAAATATTCATTTAAATGCAATATATTATTTCCAGAAGTTTAAAAATGCATTACATTGCTATTTCTCTGACATGAAACTCGAAAAAAGAATCATTCCAGGAATGTGTTTTTGTTGTTCTTTAATATCTATGAAATAAATCTAGTTATTTTTACATATGGATTTCAGCAAAAGGACAAAAAGATGAATGGATTTCTGAATAAAGAGATACAAGTGGCTTACAATTTTGAAGAATATAAATTATATTCAAGTGTTTGTTTTTAAGCTCAGACTATGTACTTGGTACTGTGCTGTTAGCAGCAGCATTGTTCTTTCTATTGCATGTCCTGACTTACAATCTTGAACTCCGGCAGTGGATGCTGGTGACAATTTTGGAGGGAGGAAAGTGTAGCATATGTACAGATCTGCATCTGATAGAGTGGACTTTTAAGGCTATTTAAAGGATCATATGCTTGACCGAAACAGCAAAGTTATCAACATGAAGGATGATAGAGATTTGGCTGGCTCCAGCTATGATTGTTGAAAAACAGCCTTTATGTGCAATGAGGAAGTGAACCCATGTTTAGAAAAACAAATTATTATTTAAGTGTAGGTAGGGTGATAGCATAGACACAACGTTCTGATAGGATTATGATAGATCTTCATTTGAGGGGAGAAATGATGGGTATAGAGAACAGCAAAATTGGTGTTGACTTCCAAACAAGCAAGATTGCATCTCACACATATGGTTATCTATTTAGAATTGTAATGATGTGTCTTCCCAGTACCTTATTTCTAAGTCTTGGAGATCCCTATCATTAATCAAGACAAAGAGATTTCAATCAGTTGCTGCTCAGTCTATGTCTTACTATGTTCAAGAGAAATGATGGACAAAATAACAAAGTTTGCTGACCTGACATAGAATATGTTAACTGAGGGCACAGAAATGTTGTAGTGTTTTAGGCATCTGTGATTAAGTAGGATCAAATGTTGTTTTCTTTAAAATGTCATATCCTTGACATTCATCTCATATAAATGGAAAATAAGTTATGTATGACAGCATTAACTTAAACAGTTCCTAATGGAAAAAATAACAAAAAACAAACAAACAAACAAAACAAACAAACAAACAAAAAAAACAAGAAGGTAAACCAAAGTAAACCTTCATTTTATTCAATCATCAATGAAGTTATTCTGGCCAAAATTTCTCCTAGGTTGCAGTGAAAGAATGAAAATCAGTTAAAGCACAAAGGATGTGGTACATTAATTTCTTAACCATCTGTTAGATTTCTAATTGAGTAATTCTATAATTTTGAATTCTGATTACTCACAAGACACCAAATTTTCAACTTACTTTAGAGAAAATTGGGCTTCAAGATGACATTTTAGTGAAAAGTTTTGAATTTGGGATAAAGAACAAAGTATCTGTTCATATTCAAATGGCAGATATTTGTTTGATGTTTTTGAAAAGTTGGAACTTTAAGGACACAGTACATGTAATCAGCAAACTGTGGCTCTGAAGAGCCATGTGTAAGAAACCTGTTTGTTCCATATGGCATTTTATGTGGAAATGCTAAACTCAGAGGCTTCTCTACAATCTAGATTGTTTTAACAATATAGCACAAGAAGGCAGCAGACAGGAAAATTCTAATAGTTTGTTTGTTTGTTTGTTTGTTTGTTTTAGAATGCTTCTTCTATAATCTTCTGTATCGTCCAGTTCATGAGTAGGAAGTTTAATATTTTAGACATCGATGTTTGGCAGCACTTTATATGCTTTCTACTGCTGTAGAAAAACAAATTTATTGACTTTTCAGAGAAGAGGGTGTACATCACATCTACATTTTTAGATTTCCTATGGTGAATTACTTGTACAGTGTGATGATATGCAGTAACTTTAAGCTGAGGAAAGAAATATTGTTTAATAAAAGCAAAATACACGTAATCTAAATATTTATATATAAGATCTTAATCACTATCACAGCTAGAAGCTAAAGAACAAAGATTTTTTTTTTGCTATAACTAGTTCAGTCTAATGTGGAAAAAATGATTCTTACCAGAAATGCTTCTATTATTCTTGTTTGTGTGTGTGTGTGTTTTTTTTTCTTTCCAAAATGCAGCAATGCATATATGTGAAACCTAATTATGTAGAAAGCTACAGTCCAGAACAAAACTCAGAAGGCAAGAGAGCTCTGTATTGGAAGAATGGGTGTGTTCAGACAAGCCAAAAACTAGATGGTCTAGCTTTGAAGATTTATGGCAGCCTGAGGTCTTCTGCTGATCAGGATGTGAAAAGGAGATGCAGACACATGAATGTGGCTATTTGTGATAAAAATAGAATTGAAGAATCCTGCTGCTTTCTGAATAACTTGCTACTAGCTTGGAGAGGCATTTGACTGTCTCTGAAGTCATGCTTGAAGGTGTTTTGTTTTGTTTTGTTTTGTTTTCTTTCCTCCTGGGTTTCTTTGGGATTGTATTTGGATTTCCACAGAAACATGGAGAATTCTGAATCTAGGATTGGTATGCCTTAAAACTTTTTGGGAACAGCTCATTGGACTGGCTGGGGCAGTTTTCATTCTCTTTTAGTTTCCTGACGCTGTTTTAAAATTCAAATTGCACTGGAGATGCATTCCTGTTTGTTTTTGTTTTACATTCCAGCTGAGTTGTTTTTCTCCAGTGGCTGAGCTCTTATTAAGAATGTCTGAACGTAATTTGCTACTTTAGTATAGAGGACTACAACTTCTCTTTCTCAGAACTTAATTTATGGAGTAAAAAACTTTAAACAAACAAACATACAAAAAAACCAGTGAACTGACTTGCGTGAATAATGTGATGGTTCCAGGTCTTTATAAGTTGAACTTTTTAAAATAACATGATTCTCACAATCTTCTGTCCGTTCCTATTTTCACATACACAGATGCGCACACCTTTACATAGACAGATGTTTCACACAACGGTGAAGACCAAGAAAAAAAATGCTTTGAGTTGTATCCTGACTCTTTATTCAAGATTCTTTTCATTTTTAAGATCTTGAAATTTAAATCTTACTCTGATGATTCTTTATTATCTGTGCTAGAGACTAAAGTAGGTGTTTTTTTAATTTGCATTTTAAACTTTAATGGATTAATCTTTGATATACAACTTGAAAGTACCAAAGCAAGAAGTAAAGCCTGAGGACAACATGACAGTATTCTGTAAGACTAAAGTGCCTGGGTCTGAAATGTCTGAACGCCTGACACATTTTCAGTACTGACTGTACAAAACAGTGAGCTTATTTTTATTTATGTGTACTGCTTTGGAGCTTGAAGACTAGATAGTAATTTATTTTGGGTGCTATATACATGTGCAACAGAAATATTGTTTTGCCCTAACAACATTAAAAAATGAAAATAAGACAAGAGACAACACAGAGTTTCAATTAAACGATGGAGAATGAAAGTGCTCTTGTTATGGACTGTTCTTAGTTCTCTGCTGACTTTCTTTTATCATGCATGGACACAAGTGGGAGTAGCAAAATTGTTTTTCAGTTGTTTTTCAGTGTCCCAGCGCCATTAAAGTATGTTTATTTTATTTATTTTTTTTTCTTGTAGATTTTAAGCATGAGTCTCAAAAGGATTGTTTACTTCAAAGATAATTTGTATTTCTGAACTGATGTCTGAGAGTTTCTTGTTTGTTTCATAACAAAGATGCATGACTGACACTTTCTTTGTCAGTTTTGTGAAAAATTTCATATCCCGTCACGAATCTATGGAAAAAAAAAGTAGATAGTATACCATGAAGATTACAAAGCAATTTCCTGCCATTTTTAATATGAAATATTTAAAGTGTGATTTTTTTACAAGAAATTCCAAGCCTTAAAATGACCACATTTGGTCTAATTTTGACAAAGAAAGGCTCTGTTTTCAATGTGTTATGATGCATTTCCTCTAGGAAATATCTTTAAAAATCTTTACTAGAAAATATATCAAAGTTCCTTCTACTTCTGTATTTTTTTCTCCAGGTAAAAAAGTCAAGAAATGCAGCACTCATTTCTCGTGAAATATACTGAAATGTCAAGCTTCCTATTATCCAAGGACTAAAATAAATGGCAGTATCAGATGTCCAGCTGGTGCTAAGCTGAAAACATAAATAAATCAGAACCTTTTCTACTATCTTATTTCTTACACAACTGTGACAGTTCAGGAAAATATATAGCAAGACTAGTCATTATCTAAAACTGATTGCTCGATAACCTTGATAACTACTTTAATAGTTTCTAGGAAATTCAGTGCATATCTGTTTAAAACCTTGTATCAGTAATTTTGAAAGGTATTTTGCAAAATAAATTGCAAAATAAATAAGGCTCATGATAGCCCTGAGCATATTTTTATTGGGTGGGAACCAGACCCAGCAGTCACATGCTTTCTACATGCAGTGTGCCAACATATGTTTGGTACTAACAACTAATGCTCAAAGAGAGGAGTGTGGGTCAGAGCTTTTCAATCAACATGTCAAAATATTAAACTCCTATAATATCTGGAATTTCAGAGCTGGGTAAGAAATATGTGGACTTTTGTACTCCAATATTATTTTTGTATTTATATCTTTACTTTATAAAAAGATCTGTTTATATCCAGGTATTTTGTTGGTTTGGTTGGTTAGCATAAGCTCTTTTAGCAATCATCTGGCAGTAAAAATATACCAAAAAAAATCTGTTCTACGCACAATTCATTGTGGCATCCACTGGAGTATTTCATTTCCATGCTTTGTTTTAAGCATTGCTTTAATGCCTTTGCTAAGCTTTTGCCAAAATTCAACATCTTCACCTTGTATCAGTAAGAAACAGCCATAGGCTCTGGTCTGTCAATCCACTGTTTACATCTGTAAATACACCCAGAGAACAAGGAATGTTTATGATTTTTAATGATCACCCCTGTCACAAAAATAGTTTTGTTGTCATCTCTAAATCTTAGCAGTGTAACAAGTGGAGCTGGTTGGGAGCATTTCAGCTTAATGTTGGTTTCTTGGGAAAAGCTGCTTTCTAAAAAAAAAAAAAAAATTAATTAATTTGCAGAATTTCTAACTAATCCCTAAAGCGGATCAGTTTTGTCCACATGCTTAAGTTAATGTTAGAATTGTTGATTTTTTATTTCTGAAGGGAGATTTTTTTCATCTTTAAAATATCATTATGTTCTACTTGATATTTTCTGTATAAAACTGATAATGGAAATTCAGAGTTTCAAAGTACAACATGAAATCTTTTGAGTGACTCAACTCCCATATATATATGTATTTTCAAATCCTCATATTTAGAAGCTTGTTTTTTAACCTCATTTGGGACGTGGAAAGAAGTCAGTGACTTGAGAACTGCTGCAGGGGAGAAGAAACACCTCCTCCTCCGTCCCCAGAGCCTTGCACTAGCTGCAGGCCACTGAAGCTGTGAGACCTGTCAGCGGAGCTGGGTGAGCCCATGTGTGCTCCAGGCACTGCTCTGAGCCACTGGCTGATAAGATCTTCCCATTCAGCTCATCATCTCATATGAGTCTTCATTACTATATCTTTTCCTCTGAAGGCTCTCATCACCCCACGTATACTCAGGGAAGAAGCTCCAGACAAGGAGAAGAGAGAGATAGGCACAGATGCAGGGCACGATAATATGTTGTCATAATGAGGGATGGAAAAGTGAACGCCATGTCTGAGCTTCATTTCAAAGAGGTTGCAGCTATCTCTAAGTCATTCTATCTTACTAAACTTGTACAAGGAGGTGATCAAAGTGGCAAATGAATTTATGCTGGCTTTTGAGCTGATTCCAAATCTCACAGACGTCTTTTTTTTTTTTTTTTGTCATTCTCTTCTAGATACCCACAGAAGGACTCCCCACTGAACAAAATGTCAGCTTTCAGCATACGAAAACAATCTCCTAATCAAAGCGGTAATACTGAGTCTCCTTCATTTTCCCTCTGGGCACTTAAGAGCTTGAAGCACAGCCTCCTTGCCTTCCTGTTTGCAAGCACGGCCATACCCATTGCGCAGCTACCTTTCCAGGGCACACCACCACTCTTTGGCAGGGGACATGCTAGTTATGGGATTCACAGGCAGACCCACCTCAGCTGCAAAGCCAGCAGTGTTGTGTGTAAACTTCTGCTGGCAGAGATTCAGGCCAAACCACCATGCTGGGTAGCAAGCCAGGCAGTGTGGTTCAATAGGGTGGTTCCTTGTGGGTGCCTTGTGGAAACTGCAGGGCAGCATGGCGGCTGGGAGGGTAATGGGCAGGCAATATCTGTCACCCTCTGACTTGGGAAATAAGGAGAATTTGAGGAAAATTACAGTGTAAGGAAGGAGGGAGAAAATCTGTTTAATCCTTGTCAGATAGGACATAGGATTTCTAAAGACTTAGATGTTTTGAGGTGTGTTGAGGGCCTGGTTTTGGTGAGATATTAGAGGCTGCAGTGCATCAAGATGGTTGTGGCCATGCTTTCAGTGCTAGCCAGGACTGGAAGCAGCTTGACCACAGGCATGAGCACTGTGCAACCTGCCTGGCAGATTGACTGCAAACAGCTTTATTATCTGTGGGTTTATCTATTTACAACTTTCAAGAACTTGTGCTGATGTTTCCATTAGCTGGAGGCTGTGCTCAGGGTGAGGCAGCCCTGCTGCAGAGCAGCAGAGGGCAGGGAGGGGATGAGCTTGCTGCCCTCTGAGGAGAGCTCTTCAGAAGCAGCAAAATTGGAAATGGACTCTGGAAACTGGTTTTGGGGGCTGGCACCCTGAATAGGCTCTACGACCTGTCCCCCTTGAGCTGGAAATCAGCAGTTTATTTCTAATGTTCAGTACTTGCAGCTGAATTCATCTGGAGTTTGAGAAGTAATTCCTCTGCTCCCGTTTTCAAGCTCTGCTGAAAAGATTAAGGTTAAAATAGTGAAGAAGCAGTAAATGGAAAAAAATAGAAAGAAAAAAATTGAATGGTAAGCAGAAATACCATTGTTCAAGTCTCTCAAACCGCTGCCAAAATAAGAAGGGAATAAGTTACCTGCACTCATGTGACTCAATATTTAATTTGTAATTGAAACTTGGGAGGTAATTGATTAGACCAGAAATGAGTACTGTTCAGCAAATCCTGGGCCTTAAGCCTTAGAAAATTACTTGTGATGTTTCTTGAAAAGAAAGGTCAATATGTATCTTTTGACTGCTGCCTTTATAGGAGACCTCCTGAAGCCTTGTTTGTGCTAAGTAATTAAAAAAGTCTTGTTTTCTATGAATTCCAAGTGATTTTTGGGTGGGTGATAGGAATTGTTCTAAAATGGCATTGGAAAAGAAAAATATTGTATATAACAGGCTAATTTTAATAGCTGGGTATATACTGAGTATTTCTTCAACATATCAGTGTGTTTAGGTTATGTTCCTGTCATTTTTTTCATGATTCAGAGGAGGTTATGGTGGAAAGCACAGCAAAGATTTAAATGTATTGCAGACTGTTGAAAGCATCTCTGGCTAAAACTATTAATATGAAAGGAATGCTGGAGTTATTTCCACCCCTTCAGTTGCCATTAGCTATCAGTGCTGAAGAGAAGTTTTATCTCTGAATGCATATATTTGAACTCATATTTTTCTTCTTTTTTTTTTTTCAATGCAAATAATTGCACCAAATTAAAAATATCTTTGTATTTATGAAAATAGGAAGCTACAGTTTTTGCTATTGTATCTTCATTCAGGTTCTTTTTGGCTGTTTTTTTTTTTTTTTTTTTTTTTTTTTTTTTGTGTGTGTGTGTGTGTGTTTTTGTTTTGTTTTGTTTTGTTTTATATGTAGGTTCATCGAAGTGCCTAGTACATTCCAGTCATTACTAATAGCATATTCAAAACAATAAATATTTCAAGCAAATGAACTTCATATAGTCTTGTTTGCCTCTTACAATGATCTCCATGCAGTGATTGTGAGACAATGACATTTAAACTAATCTTCATCCTCTCTTGCGTTTGCATGAAGTGAAATAGATTTTTAATAGATATTTTAATGAACTGTTGGAGCTATGCAGGCAAGGCTATGATGTATGTTTCCTTCCTTCCTTCTTTCCTTCCTTCCTTCCTTCCTTCCTTCCATCTTGAAGTCTTTAGGTCAGGTTTCAATAAATATTTTTAAGGGAAAACTATCTAAAGTGGAAGTGAACAGGTTGATATGGAAATCATGCAATAAGGATAGATGACTTTGTTCTTAACCTACTGTGATAGTCAGCATGTTCTTATATATCCCATCTTTGATGTGCCTATTCGTTTTGTAATAATCTCAAAGGACTGAATCTGTGCTGGTCAAAAAAAGAAAAGCAAACCTTGGGATGAGAACCAACAGCCCTGTTGTGACAGCAACACACATACATGCTATTCCATCCCTGCTTCTTAAATGTATGTCTCTTCTCTTGGAGAGAGCTAGTCCAACAAAAAGCCAGAGTGCATGCTTGCAACTAAGCAAATACAAATGATGAAGAATCCAGTCCATGAACTCCTTCACTGGTCTTCTTTTATTTATTAATCTGGTCGTATCTATAGTGAATTGCAACAGTTAAGAGCAAGCACGGTTTGGTTTGCAGTCAGCTATAGATTTTTAGATTGAATTTTATCATAATATTGCAGTGTTTTTCTTTCACGAAGGAAATGTATTTGAAAGATCACTCTTGGCCTCTGTTAATTAAAGTAAATGTTTTGGTGCTTTGTGATGATTTTGTGTTCCCCTCACTGTAGCTATTTGTCATTTTTCATGTTATCACTGCAGCTGAAATTCTTGGATCAAATGCAAGAACTATACTTTCTAATAAATCACAGCAGAATGCCAAACACAGCTCTGACAAATGACACAATATGGACTGTGAAGTGTGATCTTTCTATACACAGCCTTTACAATCTAATGTCCCTACTGACCACCAGATAATAACGTCCTGAAATCTGGTGGTGTAGACATTCTTTTGCATGGATGCTCAAGGATTTACGACTTAGTAGAAAATTATTGAAATCTCTTAAAAAAAAAAAAAAAAAAAAAAACAATAAACTCAGTATTCTTAATCAGTCAGTTTGTTGATTAACTGGATACTAAAGGTTTTGTGTATTTAATTTTTCAACTTTTGTTTGGGAAGTTTGGGCACGTATTACAATTCAAAAATGGAGTTTCTATTAGGACTCAACTTACAGTCTTCCATTTTAAAGGGAAATGTTGTAATGGTAGCAAAAAATATTCCATTTCAAAAAGCATCCTATTTGAAAGGATATGATATGAAATTTAGTGGGAAGAAGAACAAACGGGAATGATGGACAATAGTCTTTGAATATTTTTCCTTGCTCCTGGGTCAAACTCCTCATAAAGAGAAACCAAAGGAAATAAACATCAGATTTCTAACATAGTGAAGAATACATATTCATATAGATCAATTGTTATTGTTAGTCACTCAATATACTAGATATTAGCATTGTTGGGCAAAGATTTTAGGTTGTTAGCATAAGTAAGAAAGATGTCTGATTGTCTGTCTGTCCTGATAACCTTTAAAAACATGAAGGTATTGCATTTATAAAAAGTTATGTAAAAATAGATAGCTGTTTAGAAAAGAGAGCTTTCACTCTCTTTCAGCCACTCCGTTCAGCCACTGAGGTAAAAGCTTCAGAGGGAATCTGACCCCTTTGAGGAACCTGAAAATCCACACATGGGTTGAGTGTGGGTGGAGGACCGTGTGATCATCTCAAGATTAGCGTTCATTTGAAATTTGTATCTTGTCACACATCTGAAAATCCAACCACAGACAACCCCCTGAGAAATAAGATTCATTAGGTTAGCTTTCCTGGAATTACAGTTGCATGTATACTTTATAATTCCTTTATCAGATCTATAAAACTTGTTTATAGTAAAAAAAATATAACAAGCTGTCTCATATTAGGGACAACACTGAATTCAGTTTGGTAAACTGGTCTTCTGTAAGTCTGGTCTTCTGGTCTTCTAAATGGTCTTCTACAACTTAAAGGTTGTAGGCATTAATCTACAAACTTTTCAAGAAGAGTCTGTACTAAACAGGATCTTCAAACATGTTTGTGCTTTTTCTTTTCTGATGTTAAAAAAAGTATTGTGTCTGTATCTGATAGCTGAAGATTCAATCTGTGCTGAACTTCTACAGATTTCAGCTCTTCTAACAGTACTTTAACTTTCCAAAGCTTTCCCATACTTTCATTTTCAAGACACTTTTCTCTGCATTTATAGATAATAAGAGCCCTTCTGTTGCAATTAAAAGCAGACAAGTTGTACATGATGCTAACAAGCGACGGACCCTTTTGCAAGATAACAGTTGGATAAAGAAGAGACCTGAAGAGGAAAGGTAGGAAAGATCTGAAGTACATTTCTTCTGTCTTTGGTTTAGTGTTAGTTAGTTGACAATCTGGGATTGTCAACTTTTTCATGAATTACATTACCTAAAATTACATAATTTTCATCAAATAACTATTACTTGATGAAATATTGATTGCCTTTCAGAACTATTAGTCTGTTGGACTTTCACTTTTTTTTCATCAGGACTTTTGTGCAATGATCATTTAATGAGATGCAATGAGTATCTCAATCTTCATCCCTACATGCAAAATACACATTTAATATATTTCAGTTGCAAGAATACCATCTGACTCATTTTTACAGGTGTGAAGATTATAAATATTGACAAAATTGAGTTTAGTGAAGTTGGAATCATTTGAAATTTACTGGGACTTATATTACAGTAGAAACTTTGTCTTGAGACCAGGCCCTCATTATTTGGTCCATGAACAGTACATAGGAAGATATGATAAAAACATTCCAAAATGTCTGTAGTAATCCGTAGTAATCTAACCTGGAGATGTGTGGTTGGTGTGGCTACTGGTAAACGACTGTAAAATCTTGTTGAAGACATGAATCTTTTGCCAAAAACAAACAAACAAACAAAAACTACTTTTTTTTTTTTTGATAATTCAAATTTTAGCTAACCACTGTCTTTCTTTTCCTTGAAGTGCTGATGAAAACTATGGAAGAGCAGTGCTTAACCAGTACAAATCCCAAGATAGCCTACACAGGTATGGTAGACTGTCTAAATGTCTTTCTAATGATATTGACAAAGAAAACTCATGACCCCTTTACTATATCGTGTTTATAGCAAGAGCTTTCTTTAATCAATTATAGTGTAGTCATGCTGCTTCCATTGCAAATCCATTCTTATTGTTCTTATTGTAAATATGACTTAATTGTTGAGTTAATGGATTCAGAGTTGGATCCGTTAACATCTGAATGGTCTGAAATTGTGTATGGTACTTTAAAATTTAAGACCTATGCATTGTTTTATTTGTGACAAGTTGTTTGATAAAAGCAGTTACCAAATTGTCATTCTTAACCTTTTTATAGCAGTAGCACAAATGAAAAGGAAGATCAGAAAACTGTGCTTGGACGATACAGGTCTGATACTACCTTGGACAGGTAGGGCTGTTTTCCATATGTGTTGAATTTTGTGATTCTCATATGTATGAGTGGACTTAAACATGAAGGTGTGAATGAAATAAATTATATATTAAGTTTTGTATTTATTAAGTGTCTAAATAGAAGATCATGTATGATTTTTGCATGAACTGTAAATGAGACAAATGGAAGTATGATTTGAGAAAAAGTTCTTTCTGATGTCTTGCTCTTCTTCTTTTGTATCAATTTCTGTGCATTCTTGTGCTCATAAATGTACATATCCTTGTACAGATGAACTATCCACTTTCCTGCTTGTCAAACTATAAATCAGAATCCTATCTCCAATAGTCAAGCACAACATGTCTAAAACCATAGCTCTTTGCAAATCTTTACTGCCACTTCATAGAGCGATCAGTACAAATATCAGAACCATATATTTATCTTAAAATTACTTGTTTTGAATGTCCTCTCCAGCTTTGACCTCTGTCAAGACATGACTACACCTGTATTTTCAGATTCTTTCTGCATCACTTCTTCAAAATTCAGTCAACATTATTATCTGGTATCAGCAACACCCCAAGTCTATCAGCACCAGAATTTAAATGCACACTCTGGAAAATGTGCACGTTTGTTTGGATCGTGGCTCTTTGTAATTTTGTTCAATGATCCTTATTTCTTGTGTTGTAGGAAACAATGAAAAATTGTTGCATAAAATCTAGTGTGCCCATGGAAGGCTGAGATAGAATGGGATACAGAGCTCTTTATCACCCCTACATCAATTATTCCATGGGCTGGTGGATACAGGCTCCTACTGTATTTGCTTCCTCATTATGAGGAAGCCAGTCTGTAACTTTATTTTGCCTGTTGCTCTTCTCCATATCTTTTCTATCTCCGTATTAGTCTTTTTGATCTTAGGATCCACTTCAGAACATACCTTCTATATGTACAAGAGCATAACAATAGCTTCAGGTTCATTTGTTATTCCTTTTCTTATACTTCATAATATTGAATTTGCTCTTTTGAGTGCTGCTGAGAATTGAGCTGTCGTTTTCACAATATTGTATGTATAACTCCAAGACCTCTTTCCTGAGTGATAATAGCTAGTTCAGAGATCAATTGTTTTTCTTGTCAGGCATTACTTTGCATCTAAGAAAAATGAATGTCATCTGCCATTTTAGAAATCTGACATTTTAGCAGATGACTTCTGAAAACTCTGCCAGTCAGCATTTGTTTTGACTGCCATGAATTAGTGCCATTGGCAAGCAACATCATCTCACTTTTCTTTTCCAGATAATTTCTGAGCATATGGAAAAACACAGGTCTTGTACAGATCCCTCTTTCCACTCAAAAAAAAAAAAAAAAAAAAAAAAAAAAAAGCTATTAATTCCAAACCTTTGTTTCTGAATTTTTAACCATTTATTTATTCATGAAAGAACCTTCTCTATTACCATGCAGTAGATGAGCTTATTTAAAGTCTTTAACAGGGAAGTTTCTATGAGTCTATCTGGAAATTCAGGTAGAATATATCAGCTATATCACACTTACACATATACTCATTGACTTCAAAACTAATTTTGAATCTTTAATGTCCTGCATAGAATCCCTGACTATTACTTTAGAAGTTGTAGGGCAATTCCAGTTTCTCCAGCATTGCTGAACAGCATTTTTCCTTGGGATGTGCACATCTCTATCTCTGTATGACTTTTTGTTTTATGCTGAGATAATATAGATGCCTGCAGTATTTTAGGTTGTAAGCTGCCTGTCTTTGTGTTCTCGTACACGCAAATATCTAAGATAAATAGTTCTTATTATGCAACAGATGACAAAAAAAAAGAGAATACATAGAGAAAATATTATATATGTGAATATGCATTTCTGCTAATTTGGAATATGTCCATTAATGGACTGAATATTGTTGGTTCTATCTTAAAATTATCAAAATGAGGAAGCTGCAGTCAAGTAGTTTATTTTTTTCTCAGTCATCACTCATCTTCTCAAAACTGAAACATAATCATTCCAGGATTAATTTGTGCACACCCATTGCCAGCAGACAGTTCTGCAAGGGAGGACCACGTGTTCTGCATCTCCTCAAACTTGCAACCTAAGGCATAAAAGGGTGTGGTGATGTATTTTCCTTTAGCACCTCTTTGTAGCCTGCAGTCAGATTTGGTACTTTTGCTTCCTCTTTGAAGGATGTTCTCTACCAGGTACAATTCCTTCATTTTCTTATAAATTGTTTCTGGCAAGCATACCCATAGTAAAGAAAATCTCAGCTTAGAATAAACTAGTCTCCAGAACTATTGTTTAGTTGCCTAAATTGTTAAAAAAAAAAAAAAAGCAATAAGAAAGCTTTTTTTTTTTTTTTAAATCTATTCAAAAGTCGTGGTTGAAAAATGGAGTATGATTCTGGAATGTAGAATAAAATCTAAAGCTCTGTTCTAGCTTGACAGTTCTTGAGAAGAATATCCTTAGTATTAGAGACCTCTCTCAGCCGTTTATCAAGGTATTGCCAGTCATGTTGTCTACATGGAAAATAATTTCTATTGAAAAAGATCATAAATAAACTGATTGAGGAACAAAGGAGTAATATTTGGTTCTTCACAACGTGTAGAAATCTGACAGTGAAAGAATATATACATTCCATTTTAAGTACAGCTCTGCTTCCTGGATACTGCCATTTCCATATTCAAAGAACCTATTGTTTGATATGAATTTAGCCTAGCCCAATATTTACAAAATTTGAACTTCAGTTTTAATATTAAGGTCCTGGAACAGATGTTGGGGATGACTACATGTTTGCACCATTGGTTGCAAGCATAAGTACAGCTGACCTGTTAGAGATCCACAGCTTGACTGCAGTAGATGCACATATTATGAGCATGTAGATCTACACATATCACAGAGAAAAAATGCAACATTCAGATGCGAGGAAAAAATTTATTTATCCATGTATTCCTCTCTTATTAATAGCAACTAGCTAAATATTAAACAAAAGATGGAAGAAAGCTTAAAAATCAGATAGTGACAATTAAAATAATTTTATTTTTCCAAGTACTAAATGCTACTATGTCCAGAATAACTTCCAGGAAGAATCAATACTAACTGTATTTATAGCAGTCAAATCATGGGATATGGGACTGAAGCAAAACAAACAAACAAACGAAAAAACATGTTCATTGTCTGCTTTATTAATAATCTAATCCTTTGAAATGGTAGAAATTATTAGAAAAGGAATTGAGAGCAAACCAGACACCACTGTTCAGTCATGGTATGAACCAGTTCTTCACATCTTGGACACTGAATGCAATATTCACTTAAGTGAAGAAAATACAGTAGATCCTGAAGAGAAAAAAAAAGGGAGGGGGGAGGAAGGTCAGAAAGTATGCTTGCAGGTACAGAATAGCTTTCATATGCAGAATGTCTGAAGAGAAAAAAATTCTCAGCTTGGAAAAGAGTGTGATGCAGGGAAAGTGAGTAAGGAAGAATTTGCCATTTGTTTCACTTTAAGAAATAGGAGAAGGAAAGGTATAGGTAATGATTTAAAAAAAGAACATTTGTTTTTCATTTAACACATATACTTATTATAGGAATCATCATTGCAGGATATTGTTAAGTTCAGATGTTTAAATTGGTTCAGAAAAATATTAGATGGATAAATGGATTACTGATCCAAAGGTTGGCTGTTGGAGACAGCATTGTGTGTGCAAATGGATATTCTTCAATCACTTGGAAAGTTTTACTAGTAAAAGTTAACATGATATTTACCTTTATTATTCACTTTTTTTTTTTCCAAAATATTGCTACATTGAGCAGCAGTAGAGTAGGATGCCAGAGGGGCCCTTTAAGTGTTATCTAAAATGAGAAAATACATCACCACCTAAAGTATTGTGCTTAAATCCTGAAAACGTGAAATGGAACTCTGATGAAATGCTGGCTCATTGGATAGTTGTGAATTAGAACACTCATCCACAGCAATGTTTGCAAGTTTAGTGAGACCTCTAGTGATCTTTTGAGTAACTGTAACTGCGGGTCACAGCCCATGATATGAGGTAGTTGTCTGCACAATTAAATTTAACAGATTGTGCTCCAGAGCCCACTTGAAGGGTTTCCATTAAATACTTGTGATACATGGCTGACAATGGCATACAAAAAGTTTTGTACATAATATTGCGTTATAGTTGTAGACTTAATTATTTTGTATCTTCTATTGTAGCTCCTGTAGTATAGATGTGAATACATAACTAAATAATATTATGTAATTTATACATGTAAATAAGTTGTAACTCAAAATATTCTTCAGCTAATTTATCAGGATATTTAAGAAAAACACCTCAACTTAGTGTTTGTGATCTATTTCATTACATATCGATTTATATTTGAGAATTTTGTACTCTCCTTATTAAAGGATATTCTGGTTGTCTACACATCTACACATCCAACCTGCCCTAGTTAACCTTGTTTAAGCAGGGGAGCTGGACCAGATGATCTCCAGAGGTCCCTTCCAACCTTAACCAATCTGTGATTCCATTTTTGGAATGAAAATTTAAATATATCAGTATCTAAACTATGTTTCAGCTATGAAACATAGCTACATAACATATAATATATATAATATATTATATAATATATAATATAAATTATATATAATATACATATATATATATATATATATTATATACACACATATTATGTATATTATATAATATATAATATACATAAGCTACATATCAGCTCCATAATGCTTTCTGTAAAACCATGGATGGGTTTTGGGCAGCAACTGTAGAATCCATGAAGGGCTTGAAAAATCACATTGTTTTTAGTGTAAACTGAATCACTTAATAAAATCAATTTAGGCTAAAACAATCTAACTGCTGTGGTGTATATTGCTCCTATAGGTCACTACTATGCTTTATCAGGCATTTTACACTAGAGCATTTTCAAATCAATTTGATCTCTAGAAACCGTAAAGAAGACAAGAGTTGCATCTCTCAAGTGATAGCGAGGGAGATGGAAAGGGGATGGTTTTTGTACAGCTTCTCTGAGAAACATTGCCTTCTTTCTAGTGTTCTGATCTAATTTAAAGGAATTGTTCTGATCTATTCCATAAATTAACTGTTGCAGCAATAAGGCTTGATATATTATTCAGTGTATGAATATAATCTTTTAAAAGGATTTTTTTTTCAGTGAGCTACTTAGACTGTTTGTATATTAATACACTAAATTTATATTGTCTAATTCTGTTCTAAATGTATAGTGATTCTGATGAATTTTTAATCTGTACACAGGACAAAACAATACTTCATTTTTAAATTTTATTCAAATTGGTTTTAAATAAAGATCTAGGGCATGTTTTACAAATAATACATAATTTATAAGTATTTATTTGTATGTACATAATTTATAAATAATATGTTGTGTTTTGTTGTTATTTTTTTTTTAAACAGAATTCCAGGCAGAAGTGATATTGATAACATAAATAAGTCTCCCACTCTGAATAATAAACAAAACAATAGGTAAGAGTTTTGGAAACTTTATCATCTAAGTATTGTGTATCATTTATCATGTATTCATCTAAGTTATATATATGTATCAGGAATATACGGAGATATAACATGTATATAGCTTAATATAGCTTAACTGTAGGCTTCATTTCACCATCTGTCATCTGGAATGTAGCCATCCATACCTAAGTTATCAGACTCTTTTTACAGTCAGTGAGATGAAAAATAGTCCTTTAGAGGACAATTCATCTGATGTCTTTCAGATGTTTTCTTATTCTTCAGAGTAAGAGGAATTTTCCCCCAGAACTGCCACATTTCTCCACATGGATTAAAACAAGGACCAGCTCAGATTTACAAATTTACATTCATAACAATATAAGAAATGCAGTATTTTAGATATGAAGCAGATGCATAAAAGAAAGAACATTTTGAAACCAGTCCAATGTGGTTATGTTCTAGAGCTCTATACATGTCTGTGTGAATTCTATCAAATACAGTTTTTCTGAGGAAGGTCTACATGAAAAAAAAAATCAGCTTCATGTTTTCAGTGAAAAATACCATTGAACATTGACCAATGGACAACTTGAGTATCAAAATGTAAAATATATTTTTGTTGATAGCAAGGCTAACTGATTTTTCCAATTGAAAGCAAACAGAAAATGTAGGGTTTATTTGACAGATTTGCTCTTATCCGAAGATCCCTTTTTCATTTTGAACAGGTTAATGCCAATTTTTCATTTAAAATAAGACATTACAAAATCTTTGACATGTTATAAGTAAGTCAGTTGTGATGCAGAAGTGGCCACATGATATATCTAACATGTTTCAACATCACTGAAAATTTATTTTCTAAAGAATGTAAAGCTCTACTAATTGATTTTTCTTTATTATTTTTATTTAAAAAGTGGAAGTCAAAAAAACTCAGTTGCCATACTTGTAAAGGAATAAATATATTACTGTGTATCTTCAGCAATGTCAGTAGAGTTCTACAAGCAATAAATTAAAATGAATACCTTTGCTAGTGAAGACTGAGCCCAGCAATTAAATGTCATTTTACAAAGTGCTGAGATTTCACTCTGAAGAGCAAATGAGTATCTCTGGCATTTAAAGTTCAAGCAGGGTCATTTTTTAAAAAATTATGATTTTGTACCATAATATTGGAAATCATAGTGATGATGATGCATGAAATATCATATAAATTGGGTTTTGTGTTATTTTGTATGGAGATAATTAAATATTAAATTATTAAATATTATGAATTCTGAAGAGGGACTTACGTGAGACCTAAATGGTATACATTTTTTTCCTGCCATCCAGTGATAAACAAGTTTTTAAAACTGTGTTCTTCAGTTATTCTCATTACATTAAGTATTGAAGAGGACAAGACAAGTTTTTGATTAACTTTATGAGAAACATCACTGACTTGGAATTTCTGTAGTTAGAAATATGAGGTATATCAGCTCCTTTTATATGCATATCATAAAATAGCGCAGCATTGATATAATTCAATAAGATACATGAAATCTAAAGTCAGAAATGAGTATCAAGTAAAGATGTAGTTTTAAGCCTCAGAATACCTTACAGTGTTACAAATTTGATAATCTTTGAAGTGTTTCCAAAATTTCAGTTGGCATATGTAAATATAATTAGACTATATCAGAAAGTTGTATCTTTCTGATAATGGAAATTTCATTTTTATCCTTGTTTTCTCATTTTAAATGATGCACTTATTGAAGATGATTGACTGAATGAATTAATTTTGTTTCCTTAACAGACAATCTTGGACTCCTAATGCATCATCCACAAACATTGCTGCCACTTCTCCAATCAAGAAAAAAAGGTATTCATTGCCACATGTTTTGATTGCCAGAATATATAGCACTGAATTAAACCTCAGTATTGTATCGCAATTGTACTGAAAAACTTTTTCCTCTATCAAGCTCTAACTTTTCAGCAAGCATCAGGAAGAATTCATCTTTTCAATGCTCTTTTTCCTTGGGAGTACTGTATTGCAAGACTGTCTCTGTACAGCCAGTTTGCGAGCTCTGTGGACACAGAACAATAGGTGCTGATTCTTCACTGCAGCCCCTAACTCATCAAGAGTGTGTCTTTTCAGTGTCTAAATTTAAAGAAATGTAGCTCACACTAATTGCAACCAGCTGAAATCTCTGATGCCAAACTTGACCCTGTGCTGTTTTCAGTACATATGGACTACATAAAGGTTTTCGGCATGTTACAAAGCTAGCTTTAAAAATTTGTATTTCAGATAATATTGTCTGAATAAGAGAAAAAAAAAAAAAAGGTTTAGAACAAAGAACAACAATTTTTATTTAAAACGTACTGCTGGGGAAAGATGTACTTTCGTCACTGGATCCTAGAATAGTTTGTGTGTGAAAGGACCTTAAAGCTCATCTAGTTCCAACTCCCCTGCCATGGGGTCTGCCATGTTTGCTGTCTCCAATCACTTCTATGTCTTCCATATGACTTAATGTGGTTTCCAGGAGGATCTGCTCCATGATCTTACTGGTCACAGAAATGAGGCTGACCAGTCTTGTAGTGTTCTCCTTTTCACCCTTTTCAAAAATAGGGTATTGTTTCCCCTTTTGCAGTCACTGGGGACTTCACCTGACTGCTATGACTTTTCAAATGTGATGGATAGTGACTTAGCAACTTCATCTGCCAGTACCCTCAGGACCCTGGGATATCTCAGTAGGTCCTGTGGATTTGTGAACATGTGGGTTCCTCACATGGTCTTGAACTTGATTTTCTCCTATGCGCCATAGGACTTCATTCCTTCAGACCCTTTTTATTATTCTTCACGTCCCTAGCCAAGTTTAGCTCTATTTGTATTTTGTCTTTCCTGATTTCATCCCTATACTCCCAAGCCATATCCCTATTGTCTTCCGAGGATGTATGACCCTTCCTCCACTGCTAATACATTTTCTTATTGTGTTCTAGTTTGGTTAATAGGTCCTGACTCAGCCATGCTGGTCCTTGCCTGATTTCTTGCATGTTGTAATTGAGAGCTTTAGCGTCCTAAGAAAAATGTATTTTCTGCTTCTTTATTCCTGAGGGCAGTTTCCCAGGGGGTCCTCTCCATTATTCCTTTAAACAGTTGAAAGTTTACCTTCCTGAGCTTCAGGGTCCTGACTATACTTTTGCTTGGCCTACATCCCTCAAGATGTTGAATTCTACTAGGGCACAGTCACTGCAGACCAGGCTACCTCCAGTCTTGTGTTCTTCAATAAGTTCCTCTGCACTGGCAAGCAAAGGTCCAGTAACACTTCTCCTCTGGCTGTGCTTTCAATCATCTGGACTTTGATTAGAGGACTGGACCACCTGTTGTACCATGACAGGCTGAGAGAGCTGGGCCTATTTATCCTGGAAAAGAGAAGACTGAGGGGAAACCTCATCAATGCATGTAAATATTTGAGGGGAGGATGTTGAGAGGATGGAGCTGGTCTCTTTCCAGTTGTGCCCAGTGACAGGACTAGAGCCAACAGGCACAATGGGCACAGGAGATTCCAGCTGAATATGAGAGGGCACTTCTTTACTGTGAGGGTGACCGAGCACTGGAACAAGTTGCCCAGAGAGGCTGAGGAGTCTCCTTCTCTGGAACCTCTCCTTCTCAAAACCTGCCTGGATGCCATCCTGCGCAATGTGCTCTACATGTATGTGATCCTGCTCTGCAGGGGGGTAGGACTGGATGATCTTCAGGGCAGATCTTCTTCCAACCTTGTCCATTCTGTGATTCTGTGAATATGAAGTTATCTTCAACGCTCTCAAGGAGTCTCCCAGGCTGTTCTCAGCTTTGTGCACCACTTTTCCAGCAGATGCCAGGGAGGTTGAAGTCCTGTAGCAGGATCAGTGTGGGTGAGCATGATGCTTCCTGTAGTTGAAGAAAGAACTCTTCATCAACATTCTCCTCTCGATCAGGCAGTGTGTGGTAAATACCAACCAAGAAGTTTTATTTGTTGGCTTGATATCCAAATTTCACCCATAAGTTCTCAATCTGTGTGTGGCTGTTTTTTAGAGACAGCTCTGTGCAATCAATCCTGTTGTTTTTGTTTGTTTTTTCATACAGGGCAACCTCCCACTACCTTTCCTTCCTTGCCCATCCATTCTGAGCAGTTTATAGAAGCTGATTGCAGCACTCTAATCATGTGATTCATCCCACCACGTTTCATTGATAGAAATCAAATCATAGCTTTCCAGCTGGACAGTGGCTACCAGCTCCTCCTGTTTGTTACCCATGCTGTGTTTGTTAACGCAGACATTTCCATTGGACTGTTTAACTTTTCTGGCAGAACCTTTCTGGAGGGCTGGGGAGCATTCCTCACTACTCTAGTAGGTGCATTCTTCCACCTTGTAGCTTGCAAGTATACAAGTGTCATAGCTTTGAAACCCACTGCCCAAGTTCATTAGGTTAAAGCCCAATTTGCTAAGTCAACCAACCTGCCAGTGAAGATTCTTCTTCCTTTCCTAGTCAGGTTGATCCCATATCTCTCCAGTGATCTGTTTTTGTTGAGATGCGTTATGTGATCAGAGAATCCAAAGCCTTGGCTGTAGCTGCATAGCCAGGTGTAAATCTGCATGAGTACAATTCTTCCCACACTCCTGTCTCTGGCAATATACAGGAGGCTGTCTTTTGGGCCCCCATCCCTTCACTTGTGCCCCCAAGTCTATGAAGTCCTGCTTTGTGTATCCTTTCCAGTTATAAATTCTGTCTGTGATTTTATTTTCCACATTCCATGTGCAAACATTATGGTCAGCAGTATTATGAAAGTAGAAATTAAAATGTCATTGTCTTCATATTAAAAACCTTAATTCAGTGGAAGTTTATGGTGTTTTCAGCCCAAGTAGCTCTCTACAGGCCCTTTGAATATGTGAAAGGCAATCACTGAACTGCACTGTTTATGGTACAAATGCTTTTTCTACACAACTGCTTGAGTGATAGGCTTGAGGAAAATTTAAAAAAAGACCTGAAGGTGCCTGTGATGCTTATAAAGCCTCTAATACCAGCCTGAATGTGTTTCTTGGGTTGGTATTTGACACCCTCTGTTTTTTACATTCTGTTGGATTGTGTTTTTCAAAAATGATCCACTTATTTTTGAATCATTCATGTTGCAGAAGAGACTTGCAGAAGTCTGAAAATGAGTCAGAAAATACATTTTATACAGTAATTAAAATTACTATGTTATTTCCAATTCCATTCAGTTGTCTGAAAAAAATATCTAAAAAGTATCATTATGAAGTTTTCAAAATACTAATAATTCAAGGACATTTACAGGCATTTCTGTAGCATTGCTGAGATTCTAACATTCATTTGAAGAGAAGCAGACCCAAACTACCTTTGAGTCCCATAACGTTATACTAATACTTAATAATTTATTTGTTAACACTGACAGACAATCCTGGATGCCTCCCCCTGTTTCAAGTAGTAAGACCACAACAGAAACAGTGGAAACCAAATTGTAAGTATTGATGAACGCTGGTTATTTCCTCTTGTAATTTTGGTATAGAGTTTATTTCAGGAGGGAGCCAACAGGTCAATTCTTTGGGGGGCATAGTATGCTAAGATGTCATGGGTAGAGAAAGCATCCCATGTCTAAATACTTGTTTGGACTCTTAGATTGATGCTTGTCATTGACGGGTCTGAGTATGTGAAGTGCAAGTGATTTGAGGTTACATAAGTGCTCCCAAAATTTTCTATTGCTGGTATGCTTTCTCTGATTTTACTTTGGACTGTTCCAGTTAGCTCTATACAAGACAAGTCTGCTATAGAGTAACTAGTCATAACAGGCAGGAATCTATTGGTGCCATTTACTCAGACAGCCGGGCTAACTCTGAGCACTTTTGGTTAACAGTGTGGACATAAGCTCACAAAACTGCTTAGTTAACTCCCAGTAAGGTGTCCAAGAAACAGTTTGGAAGAAAATCTCAAGATAAAGTTACTTGCATTTGAATGTTTAATGTTTATTTCTAAAATCACAGTTGTTTCTGGCATCTCAGACAGAAAGGGAAGACATTTCTTGTGTGCACATAGATAGCTCCTAGATGCCAAAGTTTATTTTATTTTAAGTCAGTGCTTAAAAGAAAAGTTTGTTATGTCAACTGTCATGAATTTATCTGGCTTCATTTGAATATCTTACTGTACCATGGTAATATTGAAAGCATGGGGTGTATCTTTACATGACACCTACCCATCTTCCAGTAAAATGTTGGGATTCCTTCTCAGAACTAATTATCCAATTACTCCGTTATTATACAGAGATGACCAAAACAAAGGCATATTCTTGATGAAATTTTCATTACCATTGCCATCATATAACAACAATGCCATCAAGGATACTTGGTTAAACAGTGATGGGCATTAAATGATTAATTTTTTTTATCTTTGAAAAGTTCTTTGAAGATGTGTGAACTGTATGAAATTGCAATATTACCATAACTAATAATAGTCAGCAAAGAAGAACCATTTATATGCTTGTGAGTTTAAAGAAAAAAAAGTGTCATGCATAGATGCTAATAATAATTACAATTTTAAAAGGTCACTCTCAGTCTTAAAGACAGCTGGAGTGAAGACCTGTGCCTTTTCTTCAAATATGAGAATGGCCTGTCTTCAGGAAAGGAATTCAGCAATTAAATAATTTTTTTTTGGTCAGTTTATTTTTTAATTTGCTTTTCTGATTCTGAGACCTGATTCTAGCATGCTCTATTCAAGCATGACATGAACTTCTGTAGTGCTTTGCCTTAGTTCAAAACTGATTAAGAACACTTTACAGAACCCTTAAAAGAAATTGCAATTAAAGCTAAGAATATAAGCAGATGACTGTAATTGATTTTTTTATTTTTTTTTTTTGGCTGTGGAATATGTGCAGGAAACAAAACACTACTAATCAGAGTGATTTGCTGGAGAATTTTAATTGAAGAATGATTGTCTTACTAACATATAAAGAATATGATCAGAATTTAATATTATGCTACTTGGGTTAAACAAGTTATGTTCCACACTAAGAAACAAAACTGTAGTCTTGGAAACAAGGAAAAAGAAAATTAATTGCTGATGATCCAAAATCTTGTAAAGTGCTTCAGTAATGACATTTTGTTGCCTGTTTTCTGAAATATTTACTCTTCTTTCTCTACAGGACCCCTTCTTCAGAAAATTCAAAGGCTCCAACAAGGTATATCGTGGTTACTTTTCTTCTTAATAGATTTAGAAATGCAACACACCCCTGTGCACACTTTTTTATTTTTATTTATTTGATATAATGTATATACATTTAATTCAGACTGTGTAATTTATTGAGGATGGGGTGGGTTCTTCAGTAGCCAGCGTCCCAGAAGTGCATGAAAAAGATATCTTTCCTTGCAGAACTATAATTATTTTTGTATAGTTTAGAACAGTTAATTGGATCTTTATTGAAATTGAACAAAAAAAAAAAAGTAAATTAAAAACTTTAAAAACTACTTTGCAATTTTAATTCCACAGTTGCACATGTTTTTAATGCAACTATTCCTTTATGCTAAACTGTTGTTTTAAAGTGAGAATGAAAAGAGGAATAGGAATAGGTAAGCAAAGTAAAGAAAATAGTAAATTAAATAGCCATATAAATGCAAAGGCTTGTAGTAAAAGGCATTAATATAAAACTAATTGATGTACTCATAAGCTTATTTGAGTGTCAGCAAAGGTTGCTCTAATTTTAGAAAATAAATTCATTAAATCCATTCATTAAAGTACATTTCACATGGCCTAAATTAGGAAAAGATTACTTAACTAGCTTGTAATTTCATGGCTTGTGATTAAAGGAGCTACAAAACTTGTCACGGTTTAATTGCCATCCTAATAGAAAGATTGTCTAAAGAAGCATGGACTCTTATTTTCAATTGTATTGGCCACCTTCTTACTTTATTATCATTTCATAGTATTCCAGTAGTGACCAACCTAACTGGTCCCGTCAGACCAATCTGACACAAATAAATAAAAATAGGAAAATGCAAATATTTACTTTTTTTTTTTTTTAATTGAGTATTTCACTTACTAAAACTTCAGTCTTTACTAGATAAATAAAAATTTGTTTAGTATGTAGTAGAAAAGTAATTAAAAATTCCTTTATTACTAAAATAATTTTTGAACAGTAAAAAGACTCTATTACTACATCCATACTAGTAAAACAGCTGGTCTTGGCATATTCATTTTTGTACGTATAAATATGTATAAAGAATATAAATGAAAAAATTCTCAAAAAATCCAAATGCACTGTGGTTATGTCTGTTAAAAATATACATCTACAATGATAGCCCATATAAATGTTATAATGTGTTTCCAAATATCTGATGCATTGCTTCTTTTCACATTTTGTATTGTAGTGCTGCTTTTTCATCAGAACAAGTGACCCCTCAAGAAGTGACCCCTCAAGAATCAAAGACTGATGTGGAAGATAAATCTACAGCAAGGTAAATAGCAGACATATAGTGTGTGATAAATATGATTTTATTCATATTATTAATTTTTTTATTTCCATGTTTAATAGCTTTTTTTTTTAGACACAGACAAATGCAGCGTTCCTCTATTCCTAACAAATGCCCTAGAAGTATAAACTTTGAGTTCTACCTTGCTAACTTACCTCAGATGTTTTCATTTTTTATTCTTCCATTGTGTCTAGCCTGCATCATAAAGAGTATAGATAGTTGCTGCAACAGAATAGAAGCAGATGAATTGCAGTAATATGGATTATATAGTATATTTTCTTTGGGCTTCAATAAATTGTGGAAGCGGTAGGATCTTCACACAGTTATGTACATAAAAAGTCCAAATGAATGTACTCTAGTGTTAACATTTTAAATAGTAAAAAATAACATATACCATTTAGTGTGACAAACAAGTGTGTTTAAGCAGATGCATTTTTTTCTTGTGGTATGTTAGATGGCATATGTAGTAATGTATCTTGTAAATGTATCTGTGTGTAGAATATCTTGAAGACTATTGGTGGAAAAGACAGAAATGTTTTTTAACTGAAATTCCAGTAAACTGTAAGGTTCTATACTAATGGAGATGACATATTTTTCAAAACAATCAGCAATAACCATCTGTGGTGGTTTTAGACTGATGGGCAACTAGGCTTCACCATGCTGCTCTCTCACTCCACCTCCTCAAAAGAACAAGGGGAGAAAATATGGTGAAAACAAGCTCGTGAGCTGAGATATTTTGACTTAAAAAATTTGTCTTCAACCATAATAAAGTGCCTGAACATGCAATTAAAAAGTGAATTAATTAGAAATAGATTTCTAGATATGCACCAATAATTATGGTAGCTCATATTTGCAGTTTTTAACTGGTAATGGTAAGCTGTTCAGGTACTAAAATGAGTTTAGATTAGCTAATTGGATTTCATTTGATTCACAGTGTATAGTTTTCTAAGGTCTGAAGTCACAGTCTATATTATTTTGAATCATGTCCCCTCCCCTCAATACGTAAAAGCAAGAAAAAATAGGTAAGAATAACATGCACAAGACATGTGACAGTGTAATCCCTAGGAAAAAAGCAATGCTTCAGTGAAACATTTTCCAGCCAACAACTGTGGGAAATCTTAGAGAATTAAGTATGCCACCGTATTAACTGGGGAAGTCACAGCCATTCACTTCTAAAAGCGTGTTAAAGTCTTACTTAATCCCCACTCTCAATCAGTCGACATTCATCATCCCCCGGTGGCTCTCATTACCATATCAAGCTTTGTATTGCTTTCCCTCCATTGGTGGAGAGCTGGAGGAATATTTGGTCTACAAGTTACTATGGTAACCTTGCGCTACAGCTATTTGTGTCAGTATGTAAACTATAAGTAGCCTGTAATCTTGGTGGGCAAAATTCCGCCCCCTCTACTCTTGTTATAATTCCTTCAGATTTGGCTGGTGTTTCAGATGTCAACCATCTGCTACTCATGTGTCAATTTCACAAAACTACAAATTTTGCTAAATTTATGCGAACCAAATATGCATTAAGCAGCTGTCAGCAGAAGTGCTTTTCTTCTATTAAAGATGCCATATAAATACTGTGCTTTTGGCAAAAATGATTGTGCCACACAGGGAAAGTAAATAGTTACATGAAAAATATATGTAGTAATAGTGAAATTTATTAAAAGCAATCTTGCTTCCTTTAATTTAATATATTTTTACTTAGAATGGAGAGATTTTCAGGTCATGCATTTTAAATTTATTCTTAAATGTTTGTTTATCTTTTGTCAAGGATTCTGATGAAGATGTTAAAGGCATAATGGATTAATTTCAGTATAAAATAAATAGCAAATGGTAATTGGTTTTCTATCAAACTAGTCAGTGATACAAAGAAAAACTCCTGAAAGAGACTTACCTGAAAAGGATGTCAGATACTGTATCTCTTTCGGCTAAGAGTTAATCTTCTCTATGCAGTGTTCCATGCCAGGCCTGAGCCTGCTTCTATTCAAGTACAAAACAATTTCTCCATTGTTTTCAAATAGAACAGTTAGAAGTAGTATCTGTCTTAAAACAATAACATATATAGAATATATGGAGGTATAATTAATAAGTGGACATCCACCTTTTGGATGCAGTTAACAGAATAGAATAGGTATCTCACCATTTTTAGGGCGTCTAACAGTATACATCTTGTTAACATACGTAAGTAGGCAAGAAGACAGTAGAAGCAAATATAACCCTGTCTAATAATTATTGTGTATTTTTTCAGAGTATAATAGGTTGTCCTCAAATAAGGTCTCTTGGTCTCTCTGTCTCTCTCTCTTTTTTTTTTTCTCTTTACTTACACTTTTTAGAGACTATATAAATGCTTCAGCAGACCTGTAAAATGTTAAATGGTATGAAAGATATTTGTGTCACTCAAATGTTGGAAAGAAAGATACTAAAACAGGAGTCACATAAGCATACCCATAATTCAATAGTAATGACTACAGCCAGATCTGGCTTTGGCTACAATGACAATGTATTTCTTATGGTTAGGAGAAGTGGCTTAAAACTTTCAAAATTGTTTTTGATAGTAAAAATTAATAGTATTTTTGATGATACATTTTTGTATTTCAGTAAAAGGCAAAAACCTTAATTTACTTTCTAGTGACAGGGACCTTCTGCTTCCCCATTCTGACAGATCTGGCTTTGAATGGAGTGCTGATTTACAGCTTTTCTGCATGTTGATATAAATGATTTGCTGTTGCAGAACTTGTGTACTGAGACCCAAGCCCTTTATTCCTGACTGAAAAGTTAATGCAGTGTTTGCGGGGTCATACGTATTCTCCAAGCAAAACTGAATAAGTTCTTGTCCTTTCTTCAGTGATCTTTCCCAGTCTACCTTCTACAAAACATCCCGATCAACAGCTTCTTCCTCTTTATTTAACTTTGAAAACCTCAGGGCTAAACATTACACTGGTTTTGGCACAGTTTAAATTGGCTTTCACAGTTGACTGCAGAGCTCTTCGGTTCCTCAGCCTTTGGTCTGAATGAGGGCTCCTGGCACTGATTAGTGAGCATAGTGGTGTAGAAGGAAATGCATCCTGCCTCAGAATAAATGCCACTGTCTTCTCAAAGAACTTCTTTATTCTTTCTCATTTATACATGACTAAGTGTGATATGGAGACAGTAAAGCAGCCATAGATGGCAGATGAAAATTCAGACAGGCCCATGATGTTAACCTTTATTCAGCAAGGTACCTGACATGCTTAATATATTCTAGACTAAATCGTAGTTCAGATGTGAAAATTTGTGAAATTTGTATGCTCCTGTTTTCTCTTCCATGAAACTCCACCTACATTACTGGAGTCTTTATGTGAATTGTTTTTGTATCAGCAAAAAGGAATGATGAAATTATAAGTAATAAGGCAATAAATCTTTCAGGAATTAAGGAACACCTAGACCTAGAAATGGGCTTAGAAAGACCTACAGGATGAGTATACATCCACTGAATGAGTAGGGACTTGTGACATATTTTCCTGCCTTATACTCAGAGGATGCATAGTTCAAGAATATGGCCAGGTCTGTTTACAATTTATTTTCTCGCTGTCTTTCCCAGATGTGTCCAGGATCAACTTCAGTTTGGCCTTAGCGTAAGAACAGTCAGAATAATGTGATCAAAATCTTAAGATCTATTTTTGGATTATGTTTTTCTCCATTGCCTTCCAAATTTGCAAATACAAGTGTTAGAAAGGTTTGCATTGCTTTCATCAAACAATCAGTGACATTGCTAAAGCTCTTTTTTAGGCAATGATTCATACATTTCCTTTTTCTATGACATTTGGAACTTTATCTGAATGTTTTCAAGACCAATAAAGTATTAGCTGTGCTTGAATGTCAGGATGGGATTCACTTGCCTTTTCCTTTTTGATGGTGATCTGACTTGTCACCAGATAAACCAGAATTACAAAACCATTATCCACTGAAATAAGAGAGACTCACAAACATATCTGACAGAACAGAAGGACTGGAAAATATTAGAGCTTTATCTCAAGTGAACTGAGTTAGAACTCAAATGCAGAGTGAAAGTTATAGCAAAATATAGGCGACTCAGTTTCTCTGAGTTTTTAATACAGAGCATAAAAGGAAACAAATCATACTTGGTGGTTACATTATACATTAATTTTGATACCTTTAAATGTTTACCTACAGAATATGTCTATAGGTCTTTTATGCATTAAATCAAGAAAGACATGAGTAAAATGAGATAGCCAAAAGGAGAATTTTTGTGTAAGTGAAGAAACTTTTGCTAATACTGATTCATGGTCACAGATGTTAAGCTTTTGAAAATTAGCTAATTTTATGAGAGCTTGTTACACAATCCCTGAATAATTTCCCTTTTTATTTGTGTCTGAGAAGCACAGAGGTTCAAGATACGGCAGAATAGGAGTGTCTGGTTAAAGTAAGCCATAATTTTTGCATGCAGCCTGCTTTGACAGCTTTTTTTAAACCTCCTTTACTTATCTTTGCCAGCCTTTTATTCTGCTGGATTCTTCATTAGTTGTCAAATTTCTAATCCTATTTTACAAAAGGTGCTAGAGGCAAAATAAAAGGCAACAGCATGAGGCCCACAGTGGCCCAGTTGCACATAGGTTTTTCTGACCTTCAAAATAGGACTTTCGTGTAGATTCATATTGCTATTTTAGGCATTTTCTGCAAGGAAAAGTTAAAAGCAGAAAATACTTTTTTTTTTTTCTTTTTTTCTTTCTTTCTTTCTTTCCCCCTCCCCCCCCCAAATATGGTTACTTACAAAGGGAAAAGTAAATGAATCAATAGAAATGTTCTCCATACTTCTGTGAAGATTACAAGCACAGCTAGGTCTTAATTTAAGGCTTAACATTTTTAGTTTATAATACATACATTAATTTTGTCAATACTTGATTTAACAAATCCTTTTGTATAAAATATGGCAAGAAAACCCTCTGGACTGCTATTCCAAGTCTTTTTTTAATGCAGAATACAAAATCATATATTTATTATCCTGAGTTGGGTGTTCCTAAAAAATTCCAGTCATGTTCTGAGGTTGTATTAAAATATTTCATCTTCTTGAATTTATGAACAAAGAATATAATCTCCTCCTGGCAGGCCGTCTGTCCTGCCTTATTCTCATCCATTTCTAAAAATACTCACCCCAGGCAGTATGTTTGTCGTGGTGTAATGGCTGTCTGAAAATACTGTGTTTGGGGGTGGCATGCTTCAGAAGGACCTTTGAAAAATGTCAGTATCTGTTACAAGCCACCTACCATATTTGAAAGATATTTCCTCAAGTTTGTCTAAATTGCTCTGTGTAATCCCAGAAGTTTTATGCTGTTGTTTTCCATCATGATCTATATCCTAAACTACTGTTGACAAACTTAAGAAGTATGAATTCAATTCAGCCAGCCTTGGACACCGATGTAGTTTTTTTTTTCAGATGACAGTTATACCTGAACTGGAAAGAATTCTCCACAGTGGCTTTTCACTGCATGTGATTTTCTGGTATTAAAGGAACTTCTTTAATATATGACCTTATAGGTTAGTCTCTTCCCTACATTAATACTTAACATCTCTTTTAGAATTGTTAATAAATCTAACACTTGTTTATGTGGTTCTATCAGCATTGATGTCCCATGTGTACTATTGCTAAAGTAAATGTCATTTTTCTAAGGACAGCTAGAGAGATTTAAAAAATCCCAGAAAGTATGCCCTATATCTAATCAGATAAATTCAGATTTACCCACTAATTCCTGCAATTTGCCCTATTTTATATTTTATCCTTTTATAAAGAATAGTTCTCAAACATTAACTTCAGTTGCTAACCTGCACTATCCTTGAACCAGTTGCCTGAAGTTCTATATCCTGTGACCTCTCCTTTGCACAAGTCAGCTACCTCAAGTCAAAGAACTTGCAAGATGTCAGCCCTGATTGCATGCCACAGTCATGCCAAGCATCTGTTGCATGAAGTTGAAAGTTAGAGAACTCTTGCCAGTGCGATAAATTAATATCTTCTAAGGGTTATGTTTTATATAAGAAGTTTTCTACCTTGGGAACCATAAAGCATAGCTGAACAGGTCAGTCAGCATGTATTTTTGTGCTGAAAGCTGCAGCTGCAGTTATTTCTATTCACTTACTAGGCCTTCTCAGGGTTAGTATTCTATAAATCAGGCTGCTTGTTGTCAGGGTGTGCACATGCAGCCTAGACTTTTACTACTTTTGTTACAATTCCTTTGGACAGCAAGTAAAATCCTCCTTTCAAGCCAGTTAGTGCATTCTAATACTCCAAGTATTGAAAATAATGTAGGAGGAATTAAAAAATGTTGCTGGCTGCATAGTCATGATGGTTTGAAGTCTACAGAACAGGACTACCTCATCTATCCCTCACAGGGATTAATATGGCCAGGAAACACATTTCTAAAGTAATGATTCTTAAAGTATTGCAAGCACGTGAATATATTTTTGTTGTGATTTACAAAAAAGCAGTGAAAAAAGGGGTGAACTATTTCAGATAAATTTTGTTGCTGTTGTCGTCACTGTTTGAAAACTCTGTAAAAAGTGAACAGAGTAATTTAAGGTAAAGCAAATCTGAAGTTACCCAGGAAGAGAATTAAAATACATATAAAATTTTTAAAAGATTGGGCTTATGGCTGATCTTGAGATAGTTTCTGGCTTTGCCATTGACAGAACAGTGTTAGCTACAAGAAGAACGAGAATGTGATATAACTTGCCAGTGTTCTACAGTTTCTAGGGTATTATTAATTACATTATGCAGCTTTTGATACAAGATCATTATGACATTTTAATAGTTCTCTCAAAGATTAATACAAAAAGTTCTTGTATTTGGGCCTTGTAGTAGGGACATATTTTCAGAAAATCATGGACTCATTCCATTCGGAAAGACCTCTAAGATCATCTGGTCCAACCTTTAACCTGGTAACTGACAAGTCCACCTCTAAACCATGCTACGAAGTTTTGCTGCTAAGCATTTCTTGAGGACCTCCAGGGACTGTGATGCAACCACTTCCCTGGGCAGTCTATTTCAGTGCCACACAACTCTTTCAGTACAGAAATTTCTCCTAATATCAAATCTAAACCTCCCCGGCACAGCTTGAGGCCATTTCCCCTCATCTTACTACTTGGTGCTTGGGAGAAGAGCCCAACTCCCACATCACTACAACCTCCTTTAAGGTAATTGTACAATAAGGTCTCCTCTGAGCCTTCTTTTCTCTAAGCTAAACAATCTCAACTCCCTCAGCCACTACTCATAAGACTTGTTTTCTACTCTCCACCAGATTCGTTACCCTTCTTTGGACATGCTCCAGCACTTTGATGTCCTTCTTGTAGTGAGGGGCCCAAAATTTGTCTACAAAAATTTGATTTTTTATAGGAAGGTGTCTTCAATTAATTTATCTCATTCTAAAAAAAGAAGAATACCCAGGAGATATTAAAAAATACTAAACTGAAAATTGTAATAAAGTGAATACAATATATATATATAATTTGATTAAAAATGTAAAGTGTATCTATTTACTGAGCTAAGTCTTAAAAAAGCCCATTGGAATTTGGTTCCCCGAATGCCTGTATTCCATGTATTCCTTTGAAAATCAAACACAAAAGCAGGGTGCTGTAAGGCACAGATTTGATACTGTCATAGCCTTTCTGTTGCTTAATGCTATGAGTCAGCAGAAGTAAGCAGAAAAGCTACTGACAACCCTGTTGAGTAAACAGCAACCATGACTGTCTGCTGAATGAACAGGAGCCTCAAATCTAATGATTTTTGTGTTTTTGGTGAATACACGACCCTAAGGCTGATAAATACTTTAGGGGTGCAAGGCACATAAAGATGATAATTGACATAGCTGCATCCACAAAGCTTCAGTAGACTTTATAGAAGACTTGAGATGCATATTTTAAAAACTTGTGAGAACGTAAGGGCATAGAGGATTCAGGTGACAAGTAATAATGTATATTTTATGCAAGCCAGACACATACACAGCTGAATGCTTAATAAAAACTGTAAAAATACAAGTGAGCAAAGTAACTATCTGAGGCCTTATTCATGACTTAACTACTCGTCTTACTATTGCCACCTCCAAATATTGAGGAAACAATATGTTTTCCAATTCATCAAGGAAATATGAGGTTCTTGCATAACTTCATGACTCCATGTTCTGGAGAAAAACTCTGAAAAGCATGAAATCTGTGGTAAAGAGAATTTGCAAAACTCTGTAATATACAGGTTATTTATTCATGGCTGGTATGGAATTCTAGCTAATTAGCTGTAGATTCTCCATGCATTGAGCTGGTTTTGTCTCATTCATAAAGAAATAGATATCCTGATATCTAAGTGAACTCCAAAGCTGACCAACATGACTAAGAAGCAATTTGAAAGGTCTGTCTTTATCTTTCACTAAAATGCTGTTTCGTGACAGAACTGTTCAGAATGAAATGATTGATGACTACAAAGTTAAATTTAAGTCAGCCCCTATAGGGGAACATTGTAATATAATCATGAACATTGTTCTTTTCCTATTGCTGTCTTCTTAAGACAATTTTTTTTTTCTTCCAGACCATTATTTATTGTTGTTGCAAGTTAAGGTTACTAGATGGTAATTTCATAGGTAAAGTTGTTGGAAGTTTTTCAGTAGAGGGGTTTTCAGCTGAAAAATGCATTTTCATGGAAATTAGGTGTTTCACAGAAACATATTGACACCATTTAAATCCTTCGAAAGGAAATAAAGGCATTCAAGCATCACCCCATGTTTGGCTATGATACTATTAAATGTTCAATTAAAAAGTATGAAAGATATTGCCTTAAGTTTCTAATAGTTATATTACTTTATTGTATATATCTTTAATGTTGAAAAAGAGAAAAATAATTAACCAACAGGTTCTAATTTGAGAACAATTTTTTTTCCCCCTTAAATCAGATAATAATAACCTCTTTTCTATCTCTTTTATGAGAGTTCAATAATTGGTGGATGCAACTACTGCTCAGTGTCCTTCAGTTTAAACCTGCAATTTCTTGTGAGAGAGGAGAGTTTAATTGGGAAGGAGCAGGTCCAGACAGCCTACAAAATAGACTAAATGACTCTTAGACTGACTTTAAACAAAAAGAATTAGTCCACAATTACATTTCAGATAAGACAATGTTCAAACATATATCAGGAATATTTGGCTGATTTGGGATTCTGGTAAAGATGCTTATATCATAGCATATTAACAGACGGGCAGTCTTTGAAGTTGCCCATGATATGCTTAGCATGAATTATCTTTTTTGAGACAAGGTATAACTTGTTTCCGAAACCTAATTTGGTGCTTGTAGCAAGAGTGTGTGTTTATGTGCATATGGCTGATTCTATGAGTATCATTGAATTACTAAAATGATGTGTGCTTTGAACTTCTTATCAGTTTAATTTCAGCTTTCATAAAGAATGTGTGAATTATTGTTTCTGTTTAAGTAATTTTAAATTGGCTAATTTTTAGCCAGCTATAATAATTGTGATTTGATCTGTTTTTTGTTCTGTCTGTAAAGGAAACAAGATCTTGATGACCTCATTAAAGTGAATCCCAGGTCTTTCCCAAGTGACAAAGAGTAAGTCTTCAAAGTTCTCAGGCCTTGATTTTCTAAGGCAGTGAGTAGTTTGTAATGATAAGAATGTCAGGAAAGGTAATGTTGAAAATATTTAAAATGTTCCTAGATATTATAAGTAAAATTTCTTATACAGAATTATATTAACATGAATATAAAAATACAGATGAATTAAATGACATGTGCACTGTCAGCTGAACAAGTGGTATCTGTGGCAAGCTTCCATACTTGCCTTACATGCTTTCTCATAAAACTATTACACAAATATCTTAATATAGTTACGGAAGGGGCATTGAGCACATTATTGTAGAAATCATGGATTATGAGTGTTGCCCCAACAGGGTGTAACAAAGCTTTTCAGTCAGTAAGGGAAGTAAGCTATAAAGAGCAGCTTGAAAGTATGCCTTTGAACAGCATGTCAGTTCAGTGTGTTTCAGGACAAATTTATTGTGGTCTGTAAGCAGCCCATCAGCATACAGAATGGAGAACTGCCCTGTACCAGTGCTATAAAAGCTATGGAGTATTATAATGTGCTAGTAAGAGCTATGTAATATTTCTCACATATAACACTAACATTGTGCAGATATCTTCATGAATGATTATCTAAACAGAAGCAGCACATAAATGTTGCCAAGATGTGATCATCTGTTTTGTAGTAGACAATATGACATATATGCATATACGTTATACATTTGTACACTTGGCAGCAAACTGTAAGTTGCATATGATTTTTTTTTTCAAATTTTAATTCACAGAGAATTTATTAGGACAGAGGCCAAGATTTTGAGATACTACTTACTTCTGGGAGACACCCAGAGTTTCAAGATTAATAATTCCATTATGAATTGAAATGGCCAACTATGTTATCAGCTTCATAGAGTTAACTGGGCCTTTTGCCTTCTCTCCCTTCATCTGCCTAAAGAGAATTAGGGTTTATTGTATCAGTTAGACTGTTTTTCATAGGTCAGTCCTTTCTCTAATTAATGGAACCAGTTTAAAGTCTGTTAAAAAACAAAAACAGAGGCAAAGGGGGCAAAGCTTACATCTAGTTTCATCATACTTCTGAAAAAAAAAAAAAGAAAATCTTTTCTTATGTGTGAACTTTGTGAGTCTCTGGATACTTAGTTTTCAGTACATGGACAGACATAATGCTTTCATTGCTAACAGTGATGACACACACAGATAACTTCTTGTCATTCCAGAAGCAAAAACTATGTAGGTATTTGGACATATTTTTAGGTGTTGTCTTTAGAAGTATGATTGTTTTAGTCTAAATAACACTTTTATTGTGGTTAGGATGTTTGAACTGGAGTCTGTAATTTAATGCTGTATTATTTGGAAGGTCCATGTTTCTCCTTTACTATTTCCACTGGCAAAGAAGAGTTTTTAACTATTGCACTGATATGTTTAAACAAAACCTTCTGTATTTTCTTGTCTGTACTAGATAATAATTTTTGTTTAATTTTACAGATCTTTACCTTGCCAGTGGAAAATTGTTAATATATTTTCTAATTATAGTCAAGAACTTAAGTGTCTGCAAATGCTGAACATAAATGTAGCCAACAATTTAATTTTATCCTTTTAAATGTGTGTATAAATACATTCCTTTATTTTATTACACTTTACCTCTTCCCAGCTAGAGGGAATATTGTAACGCCTGTATTTGTTTGTTGTTTCAGAGGAAAGGATCTTGAGGATTTTGCTGAAATAAATGCTGCTTCTCAGAAAAATAGGAGGCAAGACTGTCATCTTTCCCTTACACTCTTGTAAAATGTATTTGGTTACATAATGGTATTAATAGGTTCTCTTCTATAAATATCATTAGGGGAGTAAAAATTAACACTTTGATTTCATCTAACTTTTTAAAATTCCCTATTAAATATAGGATAATAAAGATAAGTAATTCAATGTGGAGGACACTTAGTTTTTATATTATTGTAACTCTTAATAGTCAATGCAGGATCATATTTTTTTTTTTTAATTATAGACCATTTAATAAAAATATTATCATCAAATCGTTTTTTTTTCACAGCCAGTGAGTTACTAGTTACTGGTATAGATGTGGTCATATAGTGTCCTAGAGCATATATACAGACTGAAATAACAGTAAGAGGAATCTCTGCTGGATATATCAATAAAGCAGATAACGGTTTTGCAGCCATATCTATAGCTCACGGTACTGGTGCCTGTACTAAATGAAATTATGTTATCAAGTCAAAATAATATAGCCATAGTCCATTTACAAGATGTAGTCAGACTCTTCAGCTCTAGCATGGCAAGATGAGATGCAATGGTCATGAAATGCAACACAAGTGATTCAGACTGGATATAAGGCAGACAGTCCAGCAGTGGAACAGAGTGCCCAGAGAGGCTGTGCTATCGCCATCCTTGGAGACTTTCAGGGGTCAACTGGAAAAAGTCATGAGCAAGCTGGTCATAACTCAGTGCTACCCATGCCTTGAGCAAGAGGTTTAGAGACTTCCCAAGGTCCCATCCAACCTGAATTATACAATCCTATATAGGATTTAACTTAACAATTTTGAGTAGCTAGTCATACTTTTGTAGTGACACACTGGAAAGAAACTTGAAAAATACTGAGGTTTGAACTGATAACAATTTTTAACTAAAAATTTGTAATTTAAAACAATTTTGGTACAGAGTGTAGTGAGAAATCTTTGTTAAATGTATACTATCTTTTTCTTTAACATAAATGATTCAACTCATTTAATGTGTTTAAGTTGAATCAAATAATTTGATTAATTCTGAGGTGTTTCTGACTTCCACAGGAATGAGGACCGTGGTGATCTCACTGTAGTAAAGTCTGCTGATGACCAAAGCAAAAAGGGGTGAGACTCAATTCACAATTCTCTCTAAATTTTTAAGACCTAATATCAAGAGTTGTAGTTTAGTGTGGTACCTGAAAATGCTAATTCTCATACAAACCAGAAGAATTTGCATAACTTGAGTAAGATATCTATATTATTTCTAAAATGTGCCTAATTAACCAAGTATAGCAATATAACTGCATGCGTTCTGATAACAATAATGAATAACTCAAACCTATTATCTCTTGTAGTGAGGGAAAATGGAGATCCACATAAGTATTTTTGTACTTATCTAGGTATTTTGTGAACTCAGCCATTAGCTTCTCAAAGAAACATAAGTAAATGCATTCATAGTTTTTAAAAAATGCTACTGGCTTGTCAACTAATGTGAAGCTAGTATTATGTTTTCAGGTACCAGTAACATGGTATTTGAGTCTTCCATTTATTTTTATATCTAAATAATGAAGAAAAACGGCTACACGAGTACATTTTTTTTATATATATATATAAGTATTTTTATCCTAGCAGTCCCTCTTGACAGTATGACCAGAGAAACATTTACTGAAAAGGTACAGTGAATGAGTTTCTCTTTTAGTTCTGAAAAGAAGCCTGCCAGATTAGGACTAAAGCACAATAGAGGGTGCTGCTTCATGCAGCATGCTATGCATATAAAACAGTGACCAGCACTAAGCGAGGTTCATTTAGCAAAGCTTCAGAGCTTGGCAAGCTCACTGAAATAAATCAAGCTGCAGACCAAACATTCAGAGTTAAGGTTTATAATCATCAAGTTGTTTCAGAATATAACCTTTGGCAGAACCAAACAAGAGCAGCCTTTGTCTGAGCTGCTTGGTAAAATCAAGAAAATTATTAGCGCTTACTACTTAAATCCTATAATTTGTCTGACAAAGTTTATTCTTATGTTTGATTGCATATCACGTTTATGGCATGAAAAACTGCAGGAGACAAGATTTCTTCTGCTTGTATCATAATCCTGCTTGTACAAATAAGAGTTTATGTGTCTGTTTAGCTCGTCATTTCAAATAAAAACATCACCGTAGTATATATAGGGGGAAAAATTGCCCATTGCTGACTTGGAACTAAAATTCAATAAAAACGATAAAACATTACAGACTATGTCTAAGAACATGCAGAATGTTATCAACCATTGAAACGTTACCATACAGCAGAAGACATCATTGGGAACTTCAAGGAAAATAGGGTTCAATTTAAGTTAAGTTTCTGATATGAATTTATCTACCAACATAAACTGGAAAGCTTAAAATTATAGGTCTGATTCTGTTACTTTTCAGAAGCAACAATTTAACAACAATAAGAAAAAGATAAATTTATTATACCTGCTGTTACTAGCACAAACTTCTACATTTATAGATGTAAGTGTAACTAAAAGCTATGTAGCTGAAAAGAATTTTTAAAGCCTTTGTTTTCTTGTCACTTTTTTTTAGGATAACTAAGAAAACATATGAAAATCGTCCAAGCGCTCCAAATAATCTCCCAGAGAAAAGCTACTCCAGCAACAGTGAAAGAAAGATCAGGTACTGTGGACAATGAATTGAGAACCATAACATCTAAAGTGCCACTTCTTAAAAAAAAATTACAAAAAAAGAAAAATAAAAATAAATAAAAAAAAAAAAAGAGAAGCCATCTTTAACAAAGAAATTTCAGGGCAATCTCACACTGATCTCCAGAATCATGCCCAACCCCCTTCCAAATTCTTCCAAATTCTGCTTCCAGAATTCCATGAATAGAAGCCCACAAAGCATATCTGTAGTGCACAGGGTGGGCAGGGCAAGACATATCCTGTGTAGCTCTAGAAATGTAGCTGGGGCATGAAATCTTATGAGCAGTTAAGCCAGCATTCTTATATAATCAATAGAACAAAGTTATTTCCAGCACGTTACTCGGATGCTAGGTTCACCATGGGGTAGGAGGGCTTGTTTCTTTTCCAGACTATAAGACAAGCATTATGTTCTTCAGGTGCCTTGTGAAATTCCTAAAGCTATATGGGATGAATCTGAATCCTAGTACCTACCTCTCTCACCCCAATCACTGAAGCTGTGATTGGGGCATTTCTGACTTTTTAACTGGGTACAAACTATTTTTAAAACCCTCTCTCTTGTAGTACTCTTACTTTATGTGGACTCTGTCCCTAGAAACACACATATTGCAAATCTGAGTGAAAAAAAATGTGATATAGGGATAGTTAACAGAACTGACTAAACACTAGGTCTCTTGCTAAGGGGAAATCATTGGATGTTCACCTGAGGAGATGCTTTCTGTCTGATGAGCAAATCCAGGTTTGCTACTTTATTATTGAATAACAAGAATATTGTTATGATTTATAAAACAAAAATAAAACATTATTTACATTTTTCACTACATCTGCAATTTTAATGCGTTTATGGTGTGGCATAGTAATCAAATATGACAAATATACATTATAAAAGACAAATAAGTCAAAAAGTATACCTGGGTTGTGTAACACCTTATACATGCATGTTTTCGGTCTGTTATGCTTTCCCTGAAAATAGGTATGTTCTGCAAATATACAGTTATTAAAAAAAATCCCAACATTACTGAATATTAAACTATCATAATATGAAATGTAATAATTGCCATATACCTTAAGAATTTCTGGAGAAATAGGATAATTAAATCAGTTCAGAAGCATTCAAAACATGTATGACAAGATGGCTTCTTCAGCTGTCACATACTTGCTCATCTCTTCCATGCCAAACAAAACTGACAGTTCAGTAGCTAGACCTGGGACTGTTAAAAAAGGAAGAATTAAATGGTAGCTAAATTCAGTGTATTCCATCCTAATCTGTATATAAGGAACAATACAGTTATTGCAGGGAACACAAATAACACATCGAACAGCCTGTATTTTAAAGACCCTCATTCTACTTCTAGGGACATATTGTAATTTTGTTTGGCTGTTTGACAGCTCTTTGAGGACTAGCAAAAGAAAAAAAAAAAACAAACAAAAAACACGACATACAACCATTTCCTGATATGTATCATTTAGGCTGAGATGTGAGCACAGGCAAGGCCAATACAATAGTGTAGAATTCACTTAGTGGGCTTGTGGATTTCATTTTTGAAATACTGAGGAATCGTACAACAAAATGCAGTCTAAAGACACTTCATGTCTAACTTACTTTTTTTTTTATGTGATATGTATTTCTCAATGGTTGGGAAAATAAAAAAAAAAGAAGGAAATAAATCACTAAGCATGATGATTTTTTTACAAGCATGTTACATGTTTAATTGTCATACTGTCAGTGTAGTGAAGCCTTTAAAATAAAAGTACTATTTAGTAATTGTTATGTACTCACTACTTCATAGCAAATCATCACATCGTGCCTATGAAGAAAATATAACTGGAAATACCATCAAAACTGTTTACTCTACTTCTGATCGGTAAGTACACATTAATAACGTTATATGGTGTCAAAGGGCACAGACATTTTACATAAGCTTTCAGGTGTTCAGACAAAAGAGAGCAGTGGAAGTCATCATTAGGCTAGTCAGGCAGTTTTTCATACAAAGCTCCCTTTCAGTGGGATCTTGCCATCAAATCATTACCACAATTTGGCAGCCTAATATTATGTTAGGCTTGTCAGAGCTGACATTTAAAATATCTAAAACAATAGCCAGTGCCTTAAGTGGTGGAGTTGGCTTTGTGATTATGTAGGTTTCTGTCTTTTATACCTTCTTACTCCACAAAATTTCCTTCCATTATGAAAACAAAATTTTGTTTGTGGTGACCAAGTTTAAGCCCAGATGTAGGGGAATAGGTTCACACGATAATGTTGTTAAAAACTTGATGTTTTCACAGTGGTTAATGCATTCCCAAACATAGAAACATATTTGCTCAAATCAGTAGTATCTTATCTCTTGGGGAAAAAAAAAAAGTAAATATGCTTGCTATTTTCAGTTCAGATACTTTGGACATTCCCATTGCTTGGAAACATACAGAAACATAAAAACTTGTATTCTTGCCAATGTAAGTATAAGGAACTCTGGGAATGATTAAGGAATGAGTACAATGGTTTATCATGGACTGGAAAAGAGCAAGACCATTTAATTTTATAGTGCAAAAACAGCACCAACACCAACCTAGAGAAAGTACAGATTGATGTCATATGAGGATGCAAAAAGAAATGAGGGAAAAAAAAAAAAAAAAAGAAGAAGTATAATTCTTATGAATACCAGCTGGGCTGTTTTATGCATATGTTCCCTATAGCTGCCTTGAAAGTAGGCTTTCTGTCTGCAGTACAATAAATAAAAAATGTTTCCAGGCACTTCTGCAGCATAGAGGAAAATTCTATACCAGACTGACTGAATGATAGCAATTTAAGTTCAACTACCAATTTACTTTTGCAATTAAAATATTCTAATAATTACCCTCCTCTTCACCCCCATTTAACATACATGCTCCTAGACATTCAGCAGTTTAGTACAGTTTCTGTTTGTACTCTCTTTAGTACAGTCTCACTGTTTGAAATCTGTTCACCAAAGAAAATGATTCTTTCTCTCAAGATATTGTTGGTATTTGGCAATTATGTTCATCGATTGGCCCATCACAGGGGCATGTATATTACATGTCAACTAGAATGGAGGAAATACACGTGTGACTCTTTTACATTTATGGCCATTGTACATTATACTAATGTCTTTACCACATAATGCACTAAGCTTATCAATTTTATCCTTGAGATTTCAGTGGTAGTTCTTTTTCTGACAGTTGATTTTATATTATATACACAGGAGTATAATTGGAAAAGATATATGTACATACTGCAGGAAGCCCTTGGGCATAGATGCCAAAATGATCTTAGATGCCTTGCAAATTTGCTGTCATTCAACTTGCTTCAAGGTAAGATTTCACCTGCTACTAAGAAATAAAACTTAAATGTAATACCTGCATTATAAACAGATTTCTTAGGCCTTCCCCACCTGGAAGAAGAGGAAGGCTTGCACACTGGAGGAGAAGATTAATCCAGGAAATACTAGTCTCTAGTCTCTCTCTTCCCTCCCCAGTACTTTCTTCTCTCTCTCCCTGCCTCTCCTTTCTTTCTCTTACAACCACAAGGATAAAGGATGCAGCAGGACATGACCGGAATGTCATACACATTTATAAGCCTTCAGTTATATATACTTCCAGTCTGATATAGTGAATTATATCATACTTACTGTTTCATCATACTGTAATTTTTATTTATTTTTTTCTACTTTTCTATGAAGTTGCGTGGATTTACTTGATTGCGTGACTTCTGAAATCATGGTTTTGTGGGAAAGCCATACTCAAAGGCATTAGTAAGAGGTATTTAACATAAGTAGCAGGGGTGAAATCATTTTACCCATTGGGATCAGAGTATTGGTTAAAATTGTGTTGCTATGGATAGTTCATGCTATAGGATAAATTAATCTTGGTTCTGCTTGCATCTCCATGTGCAGTTTGTTACTGTAGCAAAGAAAACTCAGGGAAATCACCTCAGTAGCATAGTTTATTTTCTGCTCAGTCTCCCATGGCCCCAGGGATGGGGCATCCACAGCTTCTTTGGGCAGCCTGTTCCAGTGCCTCACCACACACATTCCCAGCTCTCTCAGCCTTTCTTCATAGGAGAGGTGCTCCAGCCCTCTGAGCATCTTTGTATCCCTCCTTTGGACCCAATCTAACAGGTCCACATCCTTCTTGTGCTGGGGGCCCTAGACCTGGATGCAGCACTCCAAGTGGGGCCTTGTGAGAGCAGAGCAGAGGGGACGGTCTTTGGATCTGCTGGCACCTTCTCTGTTGATGCAACCAGGATGCAGTTGGCCTTCCTGGCTGCAAGCACACACTGCTGGCTCCTGTCTAGCTCAAAACTGTTCTTATAAGTAAATACAGACTCAGGTTTGCTTTTATTCTTTTTAGATGGATGAATCCACATAAAGAAGAATGGGCCTTTTTTATGCAGTTAGGAGTGTTAACATCTTCTGTTGGTACTGGCTGAGCTATTGTTTAAATATTTCAGATTATTTCTTAGATGGTATTCTTTTTGCTACTATTCCCAAATGGCAATGTGTCTGGCCAGCAAAATTCAGCTTAAGTTTTGTGTAACCACATGCTTATGAAAGCATTGACGGAAAATTAAACAACTAATGTAGGTCTGTGGTTCATGCTTACAGTTATGCACTTAGCTAAGTAGTGCAATACCTCATTATTAATATTCATTTAGCATCTTATGAATACCATATCCATTAGAGATTTGCAGTTGAAAGAACTTTACAAGGTCTTTATTTCTTTGTAAAGGTATATGGCAAAAGTTTGGTGAGCAAATAATGTAAGTTCTAGGGTGTTTTTCTATATAAAAATGCTAGTTGATCTTGGTTATCAAAGCTCTGAAAATATTCCTGTCATCTGTTTTGGTGATTTATGAAAGAAAACATAAAAGGAGAAGAGACAGCAGAGTTTTTTTGGAGTACCTTAATACCAGAAGATTATTTAGAAAAAGCATAGTAAAACATAATTCTGTAATACTGAAAAAAAAGATTAAAAAATTAAAAAAGTGTGATCTCTTGTGCTCTAACACATCAGTCAAACTACATTTCAATTTCATGCTAGCCCTGATGAGCATAGGAAAAATACAATAATTGCATGTTGTCTGGATCCTGGATCTGATAGTTCACATTTTATTTTTGTCCATAATGTTGATATTAAACAATTTCTTTACTCATTTAGCTGCAAAGGCAGGTTATGGATAAGACTGTTATTTTTTTTATTTTAATAAAGATTCTCAGTTGAAATTTATCTGAATAGACAGCCATTGTGAAAATTATGGAAAAACATACAACCCTCTGGGATGGGTGAATATTTGTTTACTGAACAGAGCTGTAAAAGTAATGCTCATTTTCATTTATCAGTGAATAAAATATTCAAAGAAACCAGAATTTGCCATTCACTCATTCAATCAGGAAAAACAAACAAACAAACAAACAGACAAAAAACCACAACTGCTCTGGTGGTCAAAATTCTGTTCTGTAAGTAGAATTCCTTTGCTATTTGATACACCATAAGATTTCCTTGTGAACTTGGCAAGTTAGCATCTGTGTTTATCTGTGCAGTTTCATATATGAAAAAGGGAAAATACTTCTGTATCTCAAAAGTTAGCTTTTCCATAAATTTATTACAGCGATCTTTGGAATCTACAGTAATGGGTAACATATTTTATGGTTAAGATAAGTTATTATAAAACAGTTTGAAATAAGATTTCCTAAAGATGATGGATGTTTAAGTCTGATTGTGCTCCCTTTAATCAATGAAAAAAAAAAGACCTTGACAGGGTGGATCATCTTATTTTAGAATAAGTTTCTATGCTAACAGAGAAATTACCCTCTGGAAATGTCTGGGGGAGAGAAGGATTTGGTAAATAGAACATAGGGAACCAGCTGAGACAGATATCTAACTAGATGTCTAGTTTAGTGTTCATGAAACCTATTTTTTCAAAGTTCAGATTTGACAATATAGCAGTTCTCATAACCCCTATTCTTGTCTGGGTATGTTTACTTCCTGAAAGACAGCAAGCTGGGAATGAATAGTGAAGGGTTTTATTTTAATTTTTCTTTTTACTTTTACTTGTGCATTGAAGTGTGAAGTATGCAAAAGACCACTGGAAGATTTGAAAGCAGGAGACAGCATTTGGATTTACAGACAAACTGTGCATTGTGAGCCTTGCTATTCCAAAGTTAAAGGTAAGATGCCAGATATATCATATTGAACATAAGGAAAAAAGCATAAAGAACTTCATTCAAATAACTTCAATATATTACAATGCAGCTACTGCTTTCACTTTTATCTGTGTACACAAATCTTTTCAAAGTATTTAATTCAGAATTGCTTAACTGAGTTGCTTATGATTATATACAAGCCCAGGTTCTAGAAACAATAATTATTCTGTAACTGTGAGTGAGATGTCTTCACCTCTCATTATAACCTGTAGAGTCCTACCCGTGCAGTCAATGGAGACCCTACAGTAAGGCAAATAAATCTTGCTCTGAAAGTCACAAGAATGTATTTCAGGGGTATCCAAGGATCAGGTTGTTATTCTGAAATGAACAAGCCAGGGTTCTGAGGTATTTTCACCTAATGTAGTCATTGGTGCACACACACACACACAAAAAAAAGCAGTTACAAAATCTATTAAAGTATAATGAAAATATTAGACTGTGAGTGCCATTCTTTCCCACGTGAGGAGGACAGTGAGTAAACAAACATGCAACACGGTGAAGAAAGAAGTTTTTGTTTTAACTCCTCTAAAAGTTGCTACATTTTAAGTCTTCTTTGTTCATGGCAATTATTAATTTCTAATACTATGTCAGTACCAAATAAAGACAAATGGAAACCTAAATGAAATGTTCTGATAAACTGGTGTTCACCTCTGTACTTATTTTGGGAGAAAATCATGTAAACTGTTATTATATCAAACACTGTGTGTTGTTAAAAACCATAATGTTATTAACCATTGCAAAATTGGATGAGAAGAGTGAGTCCAGGTTAAAAAAGTAAGGCATTGTGACAGTTACAAAACTGTATAAAGAAATACCAAAGTATGCATATTAAGTGTTATAAACTTATATATCCTATTTCAGCAAATGACAAGATGTGACAGGCAGACTCCAGCAGATTTTCTAAAAAACAATTAATTGTCTTAAATTTCAGTGATGTTTAGAGAATGTTTATGTGCTTGGCATTTCTGATCAATCTCTTCTCTCTTGCAGAAAAATGGATCTACTAATTTTAACATAAAGAAAACAAGACAAAGAAGTTCCACAAATGTTTAGTAAAGTGTATTGGCCTGCTACTTCAAACCACTGTGGAAAATTATCAATTTTAATTTCTAGAAATAAGTACTCTAAATGCAGTCCTACTGCATTGTTCCTAAAAGAATTAATTCCAGGAGAATTTAGATGCCTTTTCATACACACATTCCTGAAAGTGAAAGAAGATGTCGTTCAGTGATCATCAGATCTCTGAAATTGCTAAACTGTATGGAAAACTAATGATAATTTATTGAAAAGTTACGAACTGCAGAACTTACACACCCATTCTGAAGGATGTTGTATTCTATTCAGAAACCACATCTCCTCAGAAATAAGGAACTGTTATCTTTATGTAGTGTGAATGGGATTAATCTCATCTAAGATTAGCCATCTGAAAATCATCTATTCATTTTAAGCTACTGGTTTCATACTCAATGAGGTGGGTTTTTCTCCATGCTTTGAGGACAGACATCAGTCTCCAGAGTAAGATTCTTCCCAAGTAACCTAGATCATAATTTTAAGATTATTGATTTTCCAAATAATCTTTGGAAAATAGATCTCTCTTTATAAACTACAGAGGGATGCTAGACAAAAATTATTAGGAGGGTTAAATTATTAGTATCAGACTCCATATTTTTAAGCTTGGTAACTATTGTATTACATTTTTGTTGTTGTTAGTTTTTGTTTGTTTGTTTTCTTTTCTTTTATTTTCTTTTTTATGTGCACACTAATAGTTGCCATGAAATCAAGGAATTACATACTTACTGTGACATTATGTTGTTGTATTTATCTTTTCTGCTATTTTAATCCGCCTATCTGAACACCTGGGATGGATTAATCTCTCCTAAATTTAAACCCCTACAGTGTGGACATCTACATTTAAGTTACTTAATCTATTCTGTCTTTATAGTCACTAGAGAGAAGTAGATATTTTTAGGAAATGATTCAGTTGGTCAGATTGAAAACATCTATTTTGTGATGAGGTTACCCATACTCTGAACGTATGTTTTACATTCCATTATTTGCAGAGGAAACTGGAGTGAATAGTTGAAATTTAGACATCTCCATTAGGCCAGATGCCCTGCTTCTGTTGAGCCTACGGTGAAAACATCTTTTTTTTTTTTTTTTTTTCCTTTTGTACAATGTGCATCTGTTGAGGTATAGAAACTGAAAGAGTTCATTCTTTGTTATAATATGTTTCTGCAACACTAATTTGTTATCTGCATTATTTGTCTAAAATAATAATTATTTCAGTGGTTTACTGGAGAAACAAAGGTGTTAACTACTAGTCTCCACCTTGTGAAGTTTTAGATCATGGTTATTTAAAAATGCTTTTCCTCCCTTACCTATCATCTGAAAAGGATTTCTTAGACATGAATATGATAGCATTAGGGTGCTTTTGGAGGCTGCTGAACCTCAGCAGAGCTTAGAAAGTCAGAAAGTGCCAAAGCCATAGATTAACACTAGAGTGTTGAACAATTATTGCAGCCAAACATTCTCTCTTCAACTGCACCTACACTAGTGGAGACAGGAGCTATGAATTTATGTGTAATTTAAACCATTGGACCCTCAGCTGAATAACGATACAATCTGTCTTGCCTGGCTTAAAGCATGTTTGTACTGTTATATGAAAAAGAGCCATGAAACAGTGGATAATTGCTTTCATTATTTTTATGAAAAAATCTTATGAATTAATGGCAGTACCTTTATTAAATCTATTATCAATATTTTTGTGTGTGTGTGCTTATTGCTGACAACATACTGTAGTTAAACTACGCTCAGTATTACCCAATGCTTCAACAGGGTAATGAGACTTGCACAACAGGTGGAGAAAATCAGTAGAGATGTTTTAATATTGGGTCATAAATTTGGTCCTGTTCAGAGACCAACAGTTATTGCTAAGGTTGAGTTGCCTTAAGATGAAGATGTTGGATATTCATCTGAGCTAGTAAATTAGAATCCAGGACATAGTTTGAGGGGATTTTAGTTGTCTTCATTGGAGATCAGGAGAAAACTGTGGATCCAAATATCTGCTACTTAAATGCTCACTGACAGAGACATAGCAATACAGAAACAATAAATAATAATTCTGTGCTCATTAATTCATCCTTGCTGAACAGCCCTGGTAATTTTGCCTTCCCCCCCCCCTTTTTTTTTTGTTCTTTTGTTATTTTTTATTGTATGTTGTAAGTTTCCTGAAAAGAAACACCGGTTATGTGTTGCTTTATATTTCCTATATAAAAGCGTGGATAGCAGTACTCGTTAAAAAAAAATAAAATCATATTAACATCTCAATACCAATGTATCAAAACTTAATTGTTTTTTGTCCTTTTTGCATATCATTAGCATGTGGTGTTTTATTTCTCTTTGACTAATGCTTCCATGAAACAATCCAAACGAATAGTTTGCTGGCAGCTGTTTTAATGAACGCGTTATCTTCAATAATGCATTAAATTAGACTGAAAAGCTGTATTGAGAGATAATATACTAAATTACGTGGGGTTTTGTGATTCATCAGGCACGTTTTCTCAATGTGTAATGGATACTTTATTTTACAAAGATTGGGCATAGCTCTACAGGGGGAAGATCAAGCAATAGGAGAAAAGGAGTGAAATAATGCATATGATACATATTGAGGCACTTAAACATGTAGTTGGTATCAAAACTACTGATATTCACATGAACAAGGAATGTCACAAGTACACGTTCAGAGTAGTAATGTATCCTGTTTTATCCTTTATAGGTCCTTACAGAACACTCTTAGCATCCCCTCCCTAGTGGTGCTTGAAGCAAAGTGACAAACGTGTTAGCATTGTCCTCCAGTCCTTTTCCTCTTGTAATAAACATCTCTGTGAGTTTGACAAGGTCAACTCGATATGTTTCTTCTTGGTGTGGAGATGCATGTTGTGTTGGGATAGTTTCATGTGTTCAGTTTATTTCCTCAGAACGTGTATAGATCAGAACTATGCCCCCTCTCTTCCCCTCTTGATATTTTTATGTAATCCTATTATTTAGGATAAAAAAGTATTCTCTTTCATCATTGTTTTTGCTTTTTGATCATAAGTGTTGTTCATTGTAACTACTCAGTTACACCAGGAGACAGTTTTAGCTTCCAGTCAAGTCAGTATCAGACTACAAGGGAGAAATGTAGCCTCCTTTTCTGCTGTACCCAAACACCTTGTTTTTCTTCACAGCAGCATAATACCAGAGAGGCACTTCATTCCATAAAGACAGTGGATAAAGACACTTAATATTTAGGTAGGTTTGATGTGCCAAAGTCTGAAATTGTTGACCAAAAATGCTCTGTTTGGCTGCTTAACTGATGAATATCCTTGACGTCTTAAGGTAATTAGATATTTCCTTCTTTAACTTGAAAGGCATCAAGATGTTTTGCTCTTTGCCTTGTCTGAGCAACTCAGTTCTTATATCCCACATCAGTAAAATTGTGACTTAGAAACATTCTGTGCATTTCAGGGAGAAGAATCTGCAGATATTCTCAAAACATATTAGGCATGTGCTGTGAAGATCAGACCCCTTCAAAAATTTCATCTTTTAAAGTCATGGTGATGGTGTTACTCTCCTCTTTGAAAAGCTTACTGACCCAGAAAGTGGGATGGCCAAGTTCAATTTCTCCCCCAGTGTTACCTATGTTTTTACCAGGTCGTTTAAGGGTCTGTTGTGTGAAATATAACATGTTCCAATCTGTGCAGGGTGGATTCTTATAGCCCATGGACCACAGGATAGTTGTACTGCCTGCTCACTCACTGTCTGTTCACCTATTGACCCCTCAGGAATTACAATGGGATAGAAAGTATGGGAACAGTCCCAGGAGCAAGAACACATCCTGGAACTGATAATTTTTCAGGAGGTATAGTGATAGGACAAGGGAGAATGTCTTTAAACTAAAAGAGGGTAGATTTAGATTAGATATAAGTAGGAAATTATTTACTATGAGGGTGCTGAAGCACTGGACCAGGTTGCCCAGAGAAGCTGTGGATGCCCCAACCCTGGCAGTGTTCAAGGACAGGTTGGATGGGACTTTGAGCAACCTGGTCTGGAGGGAAGTGTCTGTGTCCATGGCAGGGAGGTTGGAGCTAAATGATCTTTAAGGTTCCTTCCAGCCCAAACCATTCTAAGATATGGTTCTATGATTTTATCAATTTCTCCATGCCATCAGATTGGTCTAATTCATAATTAAAAGCAGTCTTAATGATTCTCTATTAATCTCTGTTAATGCCATGGTCCCTTCTAGCAATATTAAAAGAGTTACCTGTGGTCAGATTTGGTAAGAACAAAATAGCAGGGGAGTGGGAGTTTGGGGGTTTCATTTCATACTACTAGAAATGTCTTCAGATGATCTCTTTTGAGCCTCGTTATTTTATTTGCCTTTTTAGTCTCTGAATTCTGCTGGTCAGGGACTAAATTCTCTCTGTGCAGTGTCCAGCACAGCAGTGGCCTCTGGGTGGTACTGCTGCACCTGTGTATGTGGCTCAAGGAAAACTGATCTCACCTCCCTTTGCAAGCAAACTACTTGAAGATTTACTATTTGTGTGGAGTTTTTATAACTGTGTCAGTTATAAATTGACAGCTACAGACTCATAGCCTGTGCCAAGACTTAAAACTGCTTGGTTTTGTCCTGTTAGATTCAATATCTGAGAATAACCATGCCAAAAGCACTTGTCTGTGTATTGGCATTGCTGTACAATCATCAGACATCTGTTTAGGAAGCTCAGACAGCTATTGTGGTCAAAACAACAGCAGCCAACATTCTAAAACTACCTCATCTGGAAAAAAAAAGAAAAAAAAAAAAACAACAATAATTTCTGAAAAGGAAATTCAATATTTTTCTGGCTTTCAAGATGTTTTTCCTAATGGAGGAAAACAATTAGTATTAGTGTTAGTGTTCACTTGTCAAAATAAACAAAAGAAGCAGAAAAAGGAGAAAAGATTCAGAAGATGAAAACATTATGCAAAGAAGCCAATTAGGGACAAGCAGAATCTGTGATTTTAAAACCGGGGATAAGAATTTAAAAAATTGCCATAAATAATGGTGCCATTGAAATCAATAGTAAAACTTGACTGCAAGATGAATATTCTAGAAAATGTTACTTTATCTTCACATCTTCTAGTTCCTCTAGGAAGTTTTCACAGGTGGAACTTTGAATTACAAAACCCCTGTTTTTAATTCAAATACTGGAATTAAGAATGTGGTACCAGCTAACCAATTTGCTGAACTCTGACAGCCAATAATTAAAAATACTAACTACTATTTGGAAAGTCTACAAAAGCATATTATTGATAATACATTTGAAAACTGCTTTTATCTGTTTACCAAAGTATCTGTGGGAAAAATATTCTCTGTGTTTTGACATCTGTGGACAGCTTGGGGAAGAAAACAAGAAAGAATATTATTTTTTCTGCCTCTTCCACTGTAGTATCAGACAGAGGAGAGCACATGCTTTGAGAACTTTTTTTTTTTTTTTTTTAAATTGAGCCTTCTAAGTAGAATCAGATCTCCTCAGCAGGAACACAAATGAAACAGTGAAGCAGGGCTAGGACGATCTTTGTTTCTTATGAAGAAATCTGAACAAACACAAGGAAAAAATCTAGCTGAAAAGGATATGCTCTAAACCACAATTTGTGTACACTGACTGTACACCTGCTGAATGGACCAAAATGACACAGAGTCAGCATATTGGGCTTACGCGGCAAGTTTTGGGAGTAGGGCAGGTTGAACGGGTGGCCTCTGTTAGCAAAGCCCAGCTGACTTGCGGAAAACGGACTCCACAATCAGTAAGATTGTAAGGTAGGTATGTTTATTCTGCACTGGGCAGCACGGGGAGTAGTTCCACCAAAGTCGTGCACACTTGAGGCAGCAACTTGCCTTGGTTATATGCAGTAAAGAGCTACATATGCATGAAGTTTCACAATACCCTTATACATATGCATAACATCTCCCTGCTTCGTATTAAAATTTGTTTCAAGGAGTCATTTCCATAAACACCTCACATCACGCAGTGTATTCTGGTGGTGGTCGTTGGGGGTCGTGGTGACGAAGACTGATGATTCTTCTTCATCACTGCTAGTTGACCTCTTGTCTTTGCGCAGACTCAGTTGCTCCTTGGCTCTTGTCCATCTGCAGGACCAGTTTCTACCAGTTTCTTAAGATAGGCTCATACTCTAATTAAGAGACTGACCTTGGTAAGGGGCCCAAGGCTTCTTGCTTTAATTTATTTGCACAATGCACCATAGTTAGCAAAGACACTAAGTAGCATCCTAGTTTAATGCCGTCAGCGCTCTATCTCTACTTGATAAGATTCTCCTAACTCCCTCTCTCACAGCAGATACCCGATGTCAGATCAGAGCCAGCTCCAAAAGGGACCTGCAGCTGGCCAGAACCAAGCCAGTGAGCGACACTGCTTGGGCATCTGGGAGAACAGATTTAAAGGGGGAAAAACCTGCACAACAGCAGCTGGGAGAGGGAGGAGTGAGAACCAGCCCTGCAGACCCCCAGGTCAGTGCAGAAGGGCAGGAGGTGCTCCAGGCACTAGAGCAGCAGTTCCCCTGTGGCCTGTGGAGAGGCCCCTGGTGGAGCAGGCTGTCCCCCTGCAGCCCATGGGTCCCACATGGAGCAGATCTCCACACTGCAGCCCATGGAGGAGCCCCTGGTGGAGCAGGTGGATGTGGCCTGGAGGGGGCTGCGGCCCATGGAGAGCCCCCGCAGGAG